TTTCCATCAATTATATTCTACCGGAGAATTGGCTAGTGGAAAGAAGAAGGAGGAGCTCGACGGGGTTGTTCAATTGAATATCACAATTGAATTATTTACCCTCACCTATCTCAGAAAAAAGTCGGCATAGCGTACGTGAGACACAGATCTTTAAATTTTCTGTAGCCACGTGTTCCGCCGGCCCGTCCGGTAAGACTGTAAATCCCGATGATCTGCTCTTAAGCGCTTGGCTGAATATCTATCTTTTTTGCATGTCTTTGTTTATCGATCCCGGAGATATGAATCGTGCCTGATCTAGAACCGAGGAGAGTACTAGTGAGGAGCTCTTCATGCTGGCAGGTATTCCCCATTCGCCGGAGAGTGTGCATGTATACCAGATGGCTTCGGTCTTTAGTCATGATTGTTTACATTTCTTCGTCCCCAGCCAGATGTCACCGTCATTGATTGCATGGCGGCGTGCATGCCAGAAACATCAAAGACAGGATCTCAATATCAAATCGCTTCTTTGAATCATTTCAAGTTACCACAACTCATGTTGTGTCACACCCAAAGCCAAAAAATGACATCCGCTCCCCTCCACCTGCAGCTGTCCCATCCAGGCATGTATGATCTGTGTTAGGCCTTCGATCCATTGATGTTGATGGGCATTTATATTTAGGATTCTGAGGCCTTGAAACAAACAAGGGTCCTGATCCTTATCCTAATATGATCCGCAGCTCAGAGAGAGCTTGAGTACAGCTTTTTCGATCCACTTTCCATTCCTCTGCGCCGACGTGTGTATAGAGAGATTTAAGCCGTACCATGGTAACAGTCTGATACTCAATATCGAGTTGGGTAAAACTTCATTTACACAAATTAGAAATCATGTTTATCGGTATGACGGTAGATAGTTACTTGATTATTAAATATCTAAAAAGAGATAGTACCATATCAGAGTTTAGCCTATGGAATCGGAAGTGTAGGTGTTGTTGGGTGTGCGATTTCCTCCGTTATAAAAATTTGCAGTGTGACCTAAAATCCCATACTCATGTAGGTACACATTTGGCTGATCTGACAGCGCAACACCGCACATGTTGCGTTTCCCCAAGAAAACCGAGAAATTATCTGACCCAACAGAATGCCCATGCATTGCCCCCCGTGGCCATACCCATGTACGCATATGGCCTTTCTTAGGACCCTGAAATTACAATTTCCCATCCCAGAGACCTAAAGAGTAGTAAAAGGCGAGTCAAGGCTTGAGTACTACATGGTACAGTATCAACCTTCAACATCGGCTGGTGGATTACCAGCTTTATTCTGGTTCAGTCGTCTACATGCCGAGCCTTAAGGCTTAAAGAGTGGTTGTATTTGGAGATCTAAAACGCCACAATATAAGATTTCGTCCTTTTTTGATATGCTGCTTGGAATTGATTTCATGCGCATCTATTTTGGTTTCGGTGTTACTTGATACCAAGAGTTTGCAACAAAAGAAAAAAGAAAAAAGGGTGATATCTCCGCGGAGACGGCCCTGAAGAAATCCGAATAAAGCATTACGTGTACTTGTAAGGCCTGCCTTAGGACGGGATTGCTGTTTTTGAGATTTGGGGTGCATCTGTTGGGTTTGAAAGTTGATAGGGGTAGCTAGACGCATTAGTAACTAGAGATATGCCTACGGGAAATCTAGTTACTGTATCTGCTGAGTATCAGCTATCTCATCTCATTACTCTAATCTCACTGGTATGCGGCTAAGTCCGGCCGGCCTGGCAGAGTTGTAGCAGAGTTTCCTCTCAAAAATCACCTCTGATATTACAAATGCCAATGGCCGAGGCTAGCCGAACTGGCACTTAGATCTATATCATGGTTTCCATATAACTTACATTTGCAGAGTATTCGAGTACAGTCGCCCTCCGTTATAACGAACCTGCATATTTCAAAATTTCTCGTTCGATACAGCAGATTATTCGGTACAGCAGGTATAATTCCATCATTTTCTATGTGAAACTCAGATTCGGATCACCAAAACCCGTTCGTTATAGCAGATTTGTGGCTTTTTGGCATTCGGTATAGCGGAGGGCAACTGTACTCTACACCCTCGAAGCTAAACCATGTTTGAAACTTGGAGAATTTATATCCCTTGACCAACTGCGCCGCATGTCGTACAAAGATTTCGGGTTTCGGATCCCTTGCTTGCGGGGGAGCTAACCGTGCCGGTAGTTGTGGTTGACAGCCGGTCCAATTGTGATCCGCAAGACACAACGGTGGAATTCGGAAGAAGTGGAGGAAGAAAATATTTTGTGAGTTTGAAACAGCGAATAGCTACAAGCTACTACGAACCAGAATGAGCCGAATCATTACAAGACCGCAATATCGTGAGGGTATCTACACATATGTACTAGCTAGCAGGTAGCTAAATGTAGCTGGGTATTCATGCTTCCCAAAGCTGATAGTCAGTAGATGTGGAAAACGACGAACCCGCAAATGAATTCCACAAGACACTCATATTGGAAACAATCCTACCCATCCTTCTCGTTATCTCCAGCGTGAAGAACTTTTTCCTGCTAATCCATGAAGCATTTCAGAGTCACATGAAGCATATCCAACGTGACGGTCCAGGGATGTTCAGGGATGTCCATGTTCGCTTGCTTGCTTGTTAAAACCACGGGATGCTTTCCGTAGACCAAGCTACTACTAACCCATCAAAACAATCATACATAAGCGATAGGTACAACTCACCCTCATGAAAAGGTGTGCTTTTAATTCTGAGAGCCTGTAAATGGGCTGTCGGTATCCAATTGGGCAATATTGATCGACCTGGATCCCCTCAGGTACCAGTCTAGCCAGTCACGAGTAACAGATCGATTCTTTTTTTTTTTTTCATTCGTGATCTATACCAGGATAAGTTGTAGGAAAAATGTTCAACTAGGTTCTTCGGCGGAACCGAAGGCGGCTCATAGTGAACTAGGTTATTGCTTCAAGGGTCCTCCCTGGCCTCTTCTTTTCTAACATCTAGCTCCGCTTAGTTCTGAGAGAGATGTAGAAACCTTATGCAAACAGGACAATCCGGTGCATGTTGTTTGATCATCTAGCCAGGCACTTCCCAGCTCGCCGGCTGGACCGAACCAGAAAACGTTACTGTCAGCCAAGGGAGTTGCAGGTTTCTCTTGCGTGCTCGGGTCTGATCAAGCTTGGGCAATGTAGTGATCATTCCTGCTGGCTTGATTGCAAGGAACGTCCCTAACGTATAAACTTGATAAACTTAACTTATCTATGGTGTACATAGCACAGTGTGATAGAGATACTGTACATATTAGTCATCTACCATAGAACATAGCGTAGGGGATTAAGACAGACCCAAGGTTCTTTAACGGCCAGATCGATATCTCTCCAGATGTCACAACGGTATGTATCGAATGAAAGACATTGGCCCCCACTGCGATCAGTTTTATTTATAGAGAGTAGCTATAGGTATCCAAAATGATAGATACCGGTTACTTGAGCGGAATAGATCCGAAATCCAAAACATGTTGGCGCGGTCGTCCACAAAAGGTATCGCGACGAATAGGGATGAGGACCAATGGAAATTATTGGAAATCGAGGTTTTGGCAACTTGGTCGTTTCTTATCATGTGTAACCCCTGCTCGTGAAAAGGCGGGTTCCCCAGGACTGTATGTAAGATGTAAGAGTACATACATGTAGTTGATAGTCTACTGCGCGTGTAGGCGCAACACGGGATCAGCTATTGGGAAAAATCCCGTTTGGCCCGATCCCATAGATAGCTAACCTATATACACCCGAAATCCAACCGATCCGCGTTGAACTTGCGGGCCGCCCCGCGTTGACGATCGGCTTACTGAATGACTCGTTCAATCGGAATATTTACCCTTTGAGTGGGTGGTTGTGGTGAGTTCTGTAAGCCTTGATTCGCGACGTGATTTCGTAACTGTTATTCAAAGGACGAGCATGGTAGGAACCAAAGTTTTCGGACTTCGGAGAGGTTCCTGCACGTACTCGGTGCAGAAGCTTCCTGTCCAAACAACACTTCAAGGCATAAGCAAAATAAGCTCCATATATTTCTTTTGTCGATCACTCTATCCAGCTTAAAATCAACCTATCTGCGGATTCCAAGCTTATCCGAGTGAGACAACACGCGAAGTAAGGAAGGGTGCGTACATACATACTTGCCTCCTTCTCTCACCGAGCCCTGTCGATCACCAGAAGTCACTCGAATTGACACCTCTGTGTGGAGAGTTTGGTCGCGAATCACTCAACTGCCGACGACGCGAGATTTAAGTAGGGTATAAAATCACCATTATAGCTCGCCAGCGAGCGATCCTTACAGATGGGACATCTTCCTTCTCGATGGTATGGTACCCGGTTTGTTAACCGAAGAAGGAGGGACAAATAACTGCCGCTATGTGGGAAATGAGCTAGTTGACTGGTCTGCTGGCGGGAATCCGGGAACACGTGCGCGTTAGTACTCTAGAGTAGGTACATACAAGAGATCCAAGGTTCGGTCCCGCTTTTAGTAGGTCGGGTCGGTCCCTGGTGTTGTGGGGATGTGAAGTGACAATTAATCGGTGTTTTTAAGATCGAGAAGGTCCCGAATAAAACTACAAAGCTAGCTTGCGCCCCCCACCTCTTTAGTGGTATAAAACATTGAATCGAGATCTTTTTCTCTCCGTCTAGAGAGTGAATATTAATCAAGATGAGATTTTTCGTTTGATCTTGTATCAATCACACAACAGCACTCGGGCTAGACGTATTGTTGGGGCGATCGTGATCGGACCAGCCGGGCTCGCCCATTGAAATTATTGGTCCTTGGCACCGGGGACGTCAAAAAAAAAAAAAAAACGATCCTAGCCAGCCCTAACTAGAGTACCTACATACGTGATCATTTCTGATCGGTCATGCCAGAGCACCTCATTGAACTGACGTAAGACCCGAAGGGAGAAAGAAAAATAAATCCACCGACAAGGCAAAAGAGTATTTGATGTTTCCGAATTCAACGTCTCCGAGGATTTCTATTGGCGGACTTTCCGAAACTGGGTGAGTTCTGACAGGTGTCAGGGCCAGATAACCTGGGATATACGAATACATATGTATCTACCTTCCTCGTGAGAAAAAAAGGGAAATGAGATACCGCAAAAACTCTAGCTCCGTGAGATCAAAATTACTTCTATGGGAAACATCTGATGCAGATCGATGCCATCCAACCAATCACTCGAGAGATAATCCCTGGACGGCGCTAGCGAATTTCTCAACTTTTTGCGGTAGAGTCAGTCGTGGCCTGCTCCAGATCACTAACTCAGTCAATATTTGAGCTCGTGCATATGTGGAGTACCAGCTAGAGTAAGCTACATAACTTGTCATATGTGAAATCATACCAAATTACTTACATACTTCAAAAACCTCGCTTGCTTTCGGTGTCGATGATGGTGGCTTTCACTTTCCTTGGATCAAGGGAAATGTCAGAAGATCCTTGGTAACTACATCTCCTTGGCCCCTCGGATGCGGACGCCAAGCGATGTTACAATATGCATAACGGGTTTAGTATAACTTAGCTGAGGCATGTAGATTTATATTCAACCGGGTGCTACAGCATCCGACATTTCGTTCATGTAGGCATGAGTAACGGGGAAGGAAAGAAAAGAAAGAAAAGAAAGAAAAGAAAGAAAAGAAAGAAAAGAAAGAAAAGAAAGAAAAAGAAAGAAAGGAAAAAAAAAGAGAGAGAGATAGGTCGCCGTCTTAATTATGCCCCTCGGGAATGGATTGGGGTATACTACCGGTCCTCGTTACCGGTAGAGATGGTAGTATCAAGTGATGAGACGAGCGACAACCCCTCATCATAGGAAGAATATATTATGATGGATGGTTGGGTGATAAGTGTGTAGGCATGTCCTTAACCGTGTAAGACTGACAAATCATCTGGTATTTTTTGGGCATTGTAAGGCGGATGGGCGGGATTATGCTTGATACTACATGAATTATTAGTAAATAATTTGGTTATCATAGAAGATCGAAAGCGGATCTGTTGCCTTAGAAATATTGAAACATTACAAAAAGAGACAGGAAACATGTGGCTAAGGTCGCCCGTACAGCTGTATACCTGATTATGGGGATTTGCTTTTGAATTTCAAGTAAATATTTCTTCATACGCACGATGACGATCACCGGCCTTGATTTCTGCAGCATTATGTGCATAAAAGTACGTATGTAGAGTGCTCTACACACTCGAGGGTTCTCTACTGGTAGAGTATCTATGTAATCCCAGTTGGCTACATGGTTGCAAATAGCAGCTGTGTAGGTACTCTACATATGGTATGTACGACCTGAGTGAAAGAGCAAGAGTATTACTTACTCTACTCTACCTAGCTCCCATATGTGCACTTTGTGTCGGGGAACCTCTGGCAAGCAACCGTACATGCTAAATCAAAGGTTAGTGGAGTACAGTAGGGTAGATCTGAGAACAATTCAGCTTGTGCTTCCCGGGGTGACAGATCTAGAGCAAGGGTTACATGATACCATGGCTTACTTAGGTAGAATACTCGGAGAGGTTTCTTAGTCCCGAAGACAGATTTGTAGCATGTATGCACTCTAGGTACATACATATTGTTCCCTACCCTGACTCGATGCCTCCTCCTTTAATCAATCGAACATGCCCGTCCGTGCTTCCAGTGTACCTGAGCGCTGCGCCCACCACCGCTTACAACCGTCCCTAGATTTCGGCAGGATGGATCGCATTTATGGATATTACAATACACCCATCCTTCCATTCAGCCCAGTGGTTTGCATCAATTTGTTGATATTGGTAACGAGGTCATAAATGTGGTTGATGGAGCACCGTTGTGCGCCCGCCTGCTTTACCGCAGGTTCTGTTTATATGTGAAATCCTTTGCCTTATCGTTTGGAAGAAATAGAATCGCCATGTTGAAGAAATAGGGTTTCTGACAAAGTGCTTGTTCCTCGCTTTGGCATTGTAACACCCGCAATACCAACGATGAACCAAAAGCTCCGACCCTATTGAGCCAAATCTCATTTATCTTCCCTTTCCCCATCTACAATCCTCAGCCTCACGCGAAGTGGATTAACATTGTAGTACAGCCGCCTTGGGCTCGAGGCTAAATCATTATTGCGTCTCCAGCTGCCCGTTTGGGTCCAATTAGATGCGCATTGTTGTGGGGAAGCTTGTAAGGACACATTGTTTTGTAGGGATGTGAATATGTATTAATATAACCGCAGTCGGGTGCAGTCCCATAGAGTGCTCGTGCATGAGAGAAATCATGTGGGTTGGGGTTGTTATTGACGCACCAAGAATCGTTTTAGTAAGACCCATTGGAGGGGACTTCGGATTCAGAAAAAAAGACGGGGATTGTTTGAGGAGGTGTAAAAAGAGGGAAATGTGAGGTTTGCCATTTTCCTTTTTTGGACCTCTTATTGGAATCAAGTGCTCGCTTCGAGGTGTTTCCGAAAAAAAAATATGTTGTTTCGCCTTTCTGGAACTAGACAGCCCTGGAGACTGGTTGGAGGAAACTATCACCGCATGCGGTCAGAGATGATCGACCATGCAATCGCAACCACGTACAACCCCCACTTTGAATGTGTGCTGTTTAGTCCCACTCTGTCTCTCTCTCTTCATGTTAGTACAAGCTGCAAATCATCCTCAAATGCAATTAACGGTTTACCAAAATATCGAACAAATAGTGTGACTTGCAGAAAGCTAGAACGAGTTGGGTTCTGAACGCAAATTATGATTTTGCCAGCTTGGAGATCTTTTGTTAAGGGACACCTATCACCTTTCCCGTATACATACATATATATCCTGCTGACAGATTTATAGTATGGTAGCCAAGAGCGAAATACAAATAAAAGAGGTGTCATTTCGTGGTGCAAAAACAAGAGATTCTGTAGGCAAGAGAATTATTCATCAGTCCGGAGTATGCGACGGAAAAATAAAGTCCAGTCACAGTCGGGGGCTTGACGGCTACTTACACCGAGCGACGTCACACAAAGCGTGCTGTGAGGAGCAACTCTAAGCCTGGCCTGCTGCAACAGCGTTACCGCAACTCAGGATGGTGGGTTGGATACAGAAAAAACCCGTATTGAAACACAAGAAGCCAAGGGAAGCAGCATACCTGCTGGGCCACCGTGGAAACAGGTAAGATCCGACGAGTTGTTGGGGGGCGAATCTGAGATAAATGGCCCCAGTCCTATTTCCCTACATTGGGAAGCAAAAGGCTAACATGGCTGATTTCTACGGTATGAGAAGATAGGTGGACGTCAAATTCAGAGGTAGTATTGAAACCCAACCCCAGAGAAGAGAGAGAAAGAGAAAAATTGTCTAGGGGAGATGGATGCAAAGCTATTATGCCATATTGTGCCATACCCATACCGGACCAGAGTTGAGTGGTCGGTCAGTGGGTGTGGATGTGCACCGCCGAGAGGCTTGCAGAGACATCGTACTCCACCACCTAGTCTCTACCCTACCCGCAAAACACCCTGTAAGGTGTAGGGGAATGCAGGAAACGGGGGGTCGTTGAGTGTGAGTGACCATGCATTACATGGGGCTGGCAGTAATTGTCACGTCCCCCGTTTTCTGTTGCGCGAACGGGCCTTTACAATTCCGACCTCCTGCATCTTCAATATGTTGATTGATTGATTGAGTGTCTTCTTGCCAGTGTGTGCTTGAATATCAAGACTGAGAGAAGTTGTGAGGAAAACAACTAGTAGGGGAAAAAGCAAACGACGGCCTGAATGACTTGCGCCTATGTGCAACATTGCGACGACTCTAGCAGGCGAGTAAACTAATTGAACCTGACAGTAACAGAGCGCAAAAGGAAAACCTCCGTAACGTACTCGATCACAGAGCTTCTATTCCGCGAACGAAAAAAAAAAGAGGGAAAATTAAAATAAAATAATTGATAAAAAGAAGCGCAAGCAGACAGACGGTATTGTGCAGACAGTTGTTGGATATCGCGGGTCCTTCTGTTCATACACACCTGAACCACGGCTTCCTCCACTCACTTCCCCACCCTCTCTCCTAGTCCTAGTACTTTCCACTCCCACCCCCCTATACCTTTTTACGTTCCTTTTTTGTTACGGAGGAATTGAGAGAAAACTGCCAATTCGAACGCAAGGTGCAGTTTCTTGGGTCGTAAATAAGTGGACGAGCCACCCCCAAGGAGCTCCTTGGCTGGCCCTAGTTGGTTTACTGAATTATCGCGGGGCACGTTCGTTGTGTGCATCGCGAGTGAAAAGAAAGCTGCTGCTACCACTGCTGCTGCCCCCCCTCCACCCCAAGAAACAGGGTCGCAGGGTGGTGCCCACGATCTCTCACCAGTACCCCGTTCGCAAAGGTACCTATCGCATCTAAAATCGTATCAGGCCTGCTGCTCTCGCTCTTCTAGGCGCACCTGGCGCCGATCCAACAACTGGAAGGGAGCCCGCCCACTTTTACTGCTGATATCAAAGAGCCTCAACCATTTCTTCCCACCAACCTCACCATCTCCAACTATTGGGGCCCACCGGCCTGACGTCTGTCGCGACTAAGCATTCTAGTCTGACGACTCGCAACGGCAACATTAGTAGGCAGAGAAGGCCTTGTATTGGACTCGGATTTCTTGGGCTTGACGTGAGCTGTCATCTATCTAATGCTTTATATTCTTTCTGGAAGCTAACTACCTTTTTTCCACGCAGGAACCGGCGATCTCTCGCGGTAATAAGAAGTGAGCGAGAAAAGAAAAAAAAAATTAAGGAGTAGTCATCTGCTCTGGCACATCCTGAGCTTCATAATACTAGAAGCTTCATCGCCAAAAAGATACTAAACATTGTTTCTCAATCCGTGACGCAGCTTTCCATGAATTCCATCAGACACCTGTGAAAGATTCGGAGTGGTATAATACGGCCTCTGTATACGTCCGACTCCCGTCATCATTTTCGCCGTCGAATAACCAGCTTGATATATATCTGCCCTTACAGTCTCCCACAAATACCCCGCCCGTCAGCTCTTCGCTATAGCCCCGACAGTGCGCTTGTTCTCAATCATCTGTACCTCAAACAACTTACCCAAAGGTTTGCTATTCTCGATATCGAGTTATCGTGAGACATTTCAATATATTCCAAAGGTGGGAACCTCTCCCGACACACTACCGGGTTTTTATTGATTTGGTTCTCAGAGCTATAAGCCCAAGGTTATATATTTTCCTTTTGCGACCTTGCCAAAAGTTACTTTTCCCACGCGAATCTTTTTTTTCCCTTCCTCCTTCACCCCGCATCCACCCCCCTCCTACCCCCCTAGAACCTTACTTCACTGTCGACCATACCCGAGACAGCTCGCCAGACCATCATTTCATCCGATCTTCAAAACTGCCCCGAGGCTGTTGTGGAAGTGCACTCTTTTCGATGTCGGAGAATAGTAGCCACGACACACACCCCTATGCCCCCGCTGCCCAGAAGATTCCTCAAACCTCTCTTCCCAGCGGGAGTGGTGTTCATCCGATCCCTAATCCCCGGCATAACTCCATCTACAGCGCATCGAACGAGTCTCCTGGTAGTGATGTGGTCATGAACGGTATCAATGTTGGCGAACAAGGCCACCACTATCATTATCCAAGTGCTCCCGGTTCGACTCCCAGAACCGCTTACCCTAATGGCGCATCAAATAGTGCTACGTCTCATAATAAATGGCCGGGTTCATACTACCAGGTTAATCAATATATGAATCATCACAGTGATCCCGATCACACACGGCATATAACTTCTCCAATAGTCTCTCCCCATGGTGTCCAGTACCAGCAAGCAGCGCACACATGGGACCCAACGCGATCTCTTCAGCGATCACAACCCTCGCTGCAAGATCAAAACTACCCACAAAGCAGAACCCTATACAACAACGCATCCTATGGACGGCCGCCACATCACCCGGTTGAACCGACAGCCACTGCACCCTCACCTCCAAATCCATACCCCAGTTCCCCACGAACTCCCCAAGCAACAGGAACGAGCCAACTGCCACCTTCAAATGGTCTAGTAATAGCTCCAGGTCACAAGCAATCGCTCAACTCCATTGGCCCTGTTTCCTCTATGCCCTCTATCAACGGTAATATCCACCAGCAAGAACTGCAAGAGCAGAGACGAGAGTACCAACAAAATCCACATATTGATAACCACCAGCAACACCATCAAGGTTCTGACCGGGGTGCTTTTGTAGAGACATTACATGATCCCCCGGCAAGATATTCCCCATTACAGACTAACCGTCTGCTAAATACTGGGGGTGCCAGGCGGTCATCAGGGATGGATATGCGAGTTGATGCCGGAAGAGACCGAATAACTCCTCATCCGTTTGGTGCTACTGCGCCGACAAATTCGCAGTCCAACTACTACTACAACAGTTCTCCGTTGTCACCGGGTTCAAAAATCAGCACCTCACTGAACGAAGCTCTGCATTCTGGACGCTATCAGTATAACGGTACACAAAGTGGTGGATTCCGCTACGAAGGAAACAAAGGTGCCAATGAGAGAGCTAATTCCGAGGAACAGCATTCCTATCTTACAGGGTCAGAATCGCAGTTCACGGGACTACAGCGTCCAGGGTCGGTAGAGGTTCGGAAAACGTCCCCCCAGAAAGTCCCGAATGGACACCAGGAACATATCAAGAATCAGCGCCACGATGATACTGATGAAGAGGATGGAATAAAGAGGGAGTCAATTTCTAGGACTGCCAGTGCAAGCATCAGCCCAACTGCCACACGCAGCATGCTTCCAGGTGCTGGTGCTAGGAGAGATAGCATTGATTCCACTGTCAGTGCCGGTAGTGGAAAAGAGGGTAGCAAGAAGAGAGGTGGTCCGGTATTTACTGATCCTACTACTGGGAGGCAGTATTATGAGGAGGATATAGTACCGCCTGGTGTTGAGATCCCGACAGGGTGGCAACTGGGTGCTGGGAAAAAATGTCTGAATAAACTATTGCCATTGCTTAAAGACGGGTTACCGGTATTTCCGGAATGGGGTCTTACGTCAGCTGGAAAGGCGAGGCAACGACTGCCGAAAGCTTGTGCTAGCTGTCGCACCAAGAAGATTAAGTGTGTGTGAGTTTTACCGATCTCTTTTAACTTATTTCTAATCATTTCTGCCAGTATCATCGACTAACGTGTGGGATTCTTGAAACTCAGTGAGAGTGACCAAGATGATACCAAGTGTGCACATTGTCATAAAATGAGAATTGCCTGTAGCCAAGACGAGTGAGTGGTCTCAATTATATCCTTATATACACACCACCTTTCTCGCGATATCTAACCTTGATACACCGTTGAAGTGAAGAGAAGCCCGCTCGAAAAAATTCGAAGAAGATTTCCGACAAAAAGAAAAGAAAGGAAGGAACAACGGATCAGGAGTCGGCTGTTGGAGGATCTGCATCGCCGGGCGTTCTTCATTTAAATGGTGCACAAGGCAGCCTTGGGTTCCCAAAGAAACGGAAAGCCTCTGACGATGGTCAAAAATCTGGTGGTGGGTTTCTCAAACGAGGGAAATCATCAAGGGATAGTTCGTTTTCCATGGAGCCAATTGAGGAGAAGACAGCTGTTATGGATAATTCCCTGGACAGTACCAAATCAACACTACGGCATCACCAGCAGCCGCAAACGCAAACACTCGTACAGAGTCAGAAGAGATTGACTTTTGCAACGGAGTCTGCTGCTCCAATGAATGTGACCGACGAAGGTCGAACATCCAGGAACTACAATGCTAGGCTGTTGGCAGATCAATACCCACCAGGAAGCTATGGGATGGCAGGGATACAACCAGTACCAGGGGCTACTCCAAATTCCTTTACCTCTGCCTCCCCCACCACATCTGACCATCCAGCCATTTATGGGGTAAACAATTCATACTCATCAAGCTCACAGGCCCTGAGTACAACACCGACCATAATGGAAACTCCCACCTTATCTTATGTGCCACTCCCAATAGGTGAAGATCCAAGACATAGCAACTTCCCTGCTCCGAAGGTGGTCAGTCATCTCGTAGAGATGTATTTCAAATATGTGTATTCACAGACATATGCCTTTCTTCACAAGCAAACATTCATCAAGGAATTTGAGTCACAACCGGATGTTCTGGTAATCTCTCTATGCACGGTGGCAGCAAGATTTTCCCCAGAATGCTCCCACATGGAAGAAAGTCTTGCGTCCCAAGCTAGGCAACTCATTTTCAAGAATTACGACAACTATTGCTTGGAAGTAGTGCAAAGTATGATACATATGGGTCTTCATGATTTTGGAAGTAGCCAGGGAGACAAGGCATGGATGTTTTGTGGTATGGCAGTCAGAATGGGGACGGCTCTGAATCTCAACTTGGAGAATGGTCGGGCGAAAGTAGTGCTTCAATCTTCAATTGCCAGAGAATCTGCACGAAGGACCTTTTGGTCTTACTATTTAATGGATGTTAGTATTGCGAAAATCAACCGTCCGCAGACATTTGAGTGCTAACTTTCTTATCACAGAGATTCAATAGCTATGGCGTTGCACGGCCGTTTCTCACTCAAGATCATGATTGCCATGTTCAACTCCCTTGTAATCAGCCATCCTTCAGGGACGGAAAGATTGTTGTGACCGAGCATCTGCTTGGAGTGAACCCAGCCAAGCCAGATGTAGGCACCATACACATGGGAGCCATGGCGTTTTTGGTACGTGTGGTCGGTATCTGGGGGAATATCTTGAAACAGATACACCTATCTGGATTCGAAAAGAAAAAGGATAAAGATGCAGAGTTCCGGGCATTGATAGAGGATTTGGAGACTTGGAGGAAATCGCTCCCAAGCGGATTGGAGTATTCAAACGAGAATCTTGCTGGTCAGATCAAGGTGGGCACAGCTGGTGCTTTCGTCACCATGCATGTTATGTGGCACACAGCTATGGCATATGTTCACAGGTATGTAAGAATAATTACCAAGCAAGAGGAGACCGACGAAGAGGGCCACAGCATCCTGGACGAAAGCATCATCACAAGTATACGGAAGACATTTGTCCATGCAGATGCAGTACTCTTGATCATGTCTCATGTGAAGCAAAGGAGAAAGGAAGCGAAGGAGTTAGGGGAGACTGAAGTGATTGTCAATGCACCATTTCTAGGACAGGCTATATCTGATGCTTGCGACATATCAATAATCCGAGCGCTGGAATCGAAGGGGGACCCTAATAACGCACTGAAACAGAAGGAAAGAATATATGTCGGGTTGATGTGGTTGAAAGAGCTACGCGGATACTGGAAGCCTTTGGAAGGAATGTACAGGAAATTACGCAGGGCATATAACAAACACCTAGACAAGATCGTATCTCAAACACAGCCTAGCCTAATAAGCAACGTTATCCCATCGCCAGATTCTGGAAATGGCAGCGAGATGATAACGGATTACCCCATGTTTCAATTTCCAATCGATCCTGCTACTTACGACTTGCATCCAGACATGGGTATGCATCTCTCAGCGCCTGAGCCCTTGGAATCACAGCAATGGCTCTGCCTTCCCGAGAGTTACTACGAGGCGGCGTTTGCAGGCTCGAGTATGTCATTGTATGGGATCGCAGAAGCCGAAGGTGGATTCCCTCAGCTGTATATAGACCATCATGGGATGAGAGATGATATGGTGATGACAACTTCACTCGCGCCTGATTCAAATATGACCTATCAAGCTGCGATTTTGGATCCACCTTCAATGCCGCTCATGTCTCACCAATCGTTTGACCAGCTTAATGCACATCGACCCAGCGAGCCGGATCCCGAGGATAGCGATAACGACTACGAAGATGAAAAGGAGGAGGTTGATGATGGGGATGGGCAATCGATGACGTCTAGTAAAAAAAGGGAGAAAGCAAAATCGAGTATATCAACGCTCTACTTTCATCCAAACGCCGTCCTTGATGGCAAACTGGGTGATTCATCGGGCTCTGAAAGTTCTGGCCTTGCTAGTCGACGACAGAGCGAAGCTGCACCGAAGTCCGAGCACAATAGAATGGATGTGCTTAATCTCTTAATATCAGCAAGTGTCACGCAATACGTTAGAAGAGAGCTGGAGACGCATGATAAGTCGGATCTAGGGACTGGCCGGCAGGGAATTATGGTTCCAGATGATTGTATATTGAAGGGGGAGGTCAACACGGACAACAGCAAAGACAATGGCCACAATAATTGATGGTTTTTAGGCATCTTATAATTTCCTTGTTTTGAACTTTGACGCGAATTCTCTCATCTTCTCATATTTCTTTATACTCGGCATTTTTTATTTTTATTTTGCATTGGGATTTCTTCAATCGGCGACTTGGAGTGCTGCTTATTCACCTTGGATACTGCTTTTTTTGTTTTACCTCTTGGTTTTTGGGGCTGCAGACTTTTTTATTTATTGTTTCTCTTTATGGGTTTCGGTTCCCAGGTTTTCCTTTCTTTTTTTTGGGGTTATTTGAAACATATTTTCTGTGCTTTGATCCGGGGGGCGCAGGGGTTTTTCTTCTTTTGTTTATTTCGGATTCTGACGCGATTTTGTTGCACATCTGTCAATAGATGCCTGTTATCCCCCCACTATTTTTTCTTTCGAGTGCATAATCGAGCCCTCCGTGTCTGATTATGTCTGACTTGTTGGTTGGTGTTTTTAAAATCGGTTTTCCTTAGTTTTTTTTTGTATGGGAAATGGAAAATACGAAAAAAGCTGGATGTATCTAATGCTTTCTATTGCAGTTCATATCATTCTGTTTCTCTCTTTCTTTTTTTCTTTATACTTCACAAAGGTCCGGGGGTTAACAAGCAATGGGGCCGGAACAGCGCCCCCATAAAATTTAATCCTTAAATATATATCATGAGGTTACATGAGCGGGTCTGCAGGCATGGAGTGACGAGGTCTTATTGAACGGGTGTATACATATATGTATTTATTATCAAGGGGAGAGGTGCGGGGAATGAGAAATATCAAGTTAAGCAGCCGGTGCGGATCTGGTTGTGATCTTCGGATCTTGCTAGTTGTGATATCATGTACTCAGCTTTACCCACATGATGGCATCTGAAAAGTAGCCTGACATGAAAAGGTGTATGTATATTCGGACACTGTTATTAAAGAGGAGACACATGTCCGGATGAACTGGGGACACCTGCATGCTCTGTGATAGCCAGGGCTATAAAATAGCCATATCATGCTCTTGATTCTTTGTTTTATGGTTAAACATCCGCACTTAGAGGTTTTGAATCATTAATTATCACTCGGACACCCCTGAAACGAAATACCCTATCGATCGATCGATTCATTACATGTTAAATTAATTCGTTAGGTATACGTCGCCTACTTATTATGGTACTGCATCTATCCTCTGCTCCATCCCCGTAAAATTATGATTAAGAAATAAGAATAAAATAGAGTGGGAGGGAGTAAGAATAAAGAAAACTGACATCATTAGTTATTTCTGATGAAAACTCCAAATAGAAAAGTTGATAACGATAATTCCAATTTAAGCATGGATGAAAAACTTAAAGATTGTGAGTTTCGCTGGAGTCAAAGATAAAGAAATATGATGTGTTTATAGCTGGTTTATGTGGTTACTCTTTCTCCCAGATCCCTTTCACTGCCCATCCCAAATTTGGATCTTTCTTCATCTCGGCCCAGTCCTTCAAAAATTTGGCGACGTTCAGGATATCCTCCTCGAACCGGACTCCCCACACAGCGAACCAGCACAGTCTCCTGACCATTCTATAGCGAGGCCTGTATGCATACTCCAAAAACCGGGGAATTGAAGACTCTGCTTCAATCTCAAATAGCTTCTTGACCTCTGCAGACTCGGCACTTGCTGGAATCTCACAATCGTACTTCTCGTCGGCCATCTGCCAGCCTTCCTCAGCCCCGCAGCGCCACAGCCACGACGGGGCCCTATGTGCCATGATTCTAGGAACGGAAACTGTTTCGTCCCAGCCAAGGATTCCGCTGATGTTCCAGTCGCCATTCTTGCGTTCCACGAAGATTTTCTGCGGGGTCAGCCCAGGATGGTAGAGAATGTTTACGTTATCGCCCAAGCACACAAATCTCTCCATCTCCCTTGTGGTCTCGATCAGCTTGTCGATATAAGTCATCGCCAGCTCGGCTTCACCATCGGACTTTTCTCTGTACTGCCAGAAGAGCTTCCAAGTCTCGAGCTGTGTGAGGAGCATATCCCTAGTTGTCTGCTCCGGGTATGCTTGGATCTTGGCTCGCAGGTTTTCATCTGTAACGCCTGGTATATCGAAGCTATCGACCACGACCATACCCTTACTCTCCGCTGAAATAGCCGCAGGGATCAGTACGCCTGCGCGCTGGAACTGGATCTTGTCCATTTCGGTGAGGAGGTCGACGACGTCCCGGACGAACTTCTTGCGTTGTAGGAACGATATTTCAGGAAGGGCTTCGGCGAGTGATTTCCCGGGGATGCGTGTTTGGAGGATGTATGGGAGGGAGAGGGGGCAGTCGGAGTCATCTGCGCCGCCGTCGGGGTCATAGACGACGGTGATGGGGGTAGGAATGGTACCGAGCTTTTCTAGGTGATACATCATTGATACTGACCGGAGGAGGTTGGTTGTGGGGGTTTTTTCGTGGCGTGGCAGGCGAAGGATGTAGTGTTCTTTCTTCTCCTCCTTGACTTTCCTGATGACGATGGGCGTGGTGAGGGTGATGCCAATAATGCGGTAGCTGTCGCCGCCGGGCATGCGAGTGATCTCGATAGTGGTCTTGGCAGTAATCCTGATACTGGGGAGGTTGAGAGTGCCAATATGGAGGAGTAGCTCCATGATCTTCTTCTCGAAGGTCTTAAAGGTCTCATGGCCATAATCGATGGTCGAGGTCCTAGACATTATCGATGAACTCGACGAGGAAGACGACGCACCGGAAATGCGGGAGTTGATGCTTTGCACAGGCTTTGAGAGACGGATAGAAGGAATGACATCCTTCCAGGTCGACGTTGGTTTCAGCATTTTCTGTGAGGAATCCTGATGCTTCTGCATGATTGATGATTGATTGTAATTGGTGGAGCTGAAGGAAGGGAGTGGGGGAGAGGTCAACAGGATACATTCCCGCAACTGACTATAAGTACGAGTTCCTCATACCGCAAGCAAGAGCTATCCATACATACATACTATGGTCGAGAGCCCCCGAGAGAAGCCAGCCAAGACCGAAGGCACCGAGTGATCGCTTGTGCAACGGGGTAGGCCGGCATTCCGGCCGATGTCAACGGACTTGGCTCTCGTACACCTTTCCCCACGGGGAATCGAGCTCTCTTATTGGCACAAGCCGGGGGGGGGACGAAGAGCTGGGCAACATAAACACCTGCTCTGTTAAACTTTGTAATAGCTCGCTGCTAGGCGTTTCCCCACAATATAAATATCGCCCCCGAGGAGGACCCTCTGCAAATGTAAAGTAGATCAGATCTCCCTCGATCCAGCAGCTTAATTAATATATCCCCAGATCTATACAGTCCCCACAGAACCTTTTTTCTTCCCAAAAGAAATGGATACTGCAGAGAAAGATAAGATGCTCCGCGGCGAGCTCTATATCGCCCTCGATCCTCTGCTGTGCTCAGAACGAGAGCGCTGTGCTAAGGCGTGCAATGAGTTCAACACCAACACCACCGCCACGCCACTGGAGCGGGCAAATCTACTCAACAAGTCAGTCCCAGAATTTAATTTCCCACAAAACCACCCCCACTAACAGCACCCCACCCCCGCATATGTAGCATCCTCAAACTACCCCCCGTACCCCCTTCCACAGACCTCAGCACCCTCCCCACCGTCAACCCGCCTTTCATCGTCGACTATGGCTACAACGTCACCCTCGGCGAGGGCAGCTTCATAAACTTCAACTGCACTATCCTCGACACCTGTCCCGTGCGCATCGGCGCACGCACTCTCTTCGGCCCCGGCATCTCCATCTTCACCGCCTCGCACCCGCTCTCGGCCGCTGTCCGCAACGGGCTCAAGGGCCCCGAGGACGGCCGCCCCATCGTCATTGGCGATGACTGCTGGTTTGGCGGGAACGTGGTTGTGCTGCCGGGTGTGACTATCGGCGATTGTGTGGTGGTCGGCGCGGGCGCGGTGGTGACAAAGGTATGTTAATTCTATATACATTCTACTCTTTCTTCCCAATATCTATATATATGTGGTGGTGCCTTGCCCCCGGTGAGCGGGAGAGTGCTGATGGAGATATTATACAGAGTGTACCGAGTCACTGCGTGGTGGCCGGGAACCCGGCGAGGATCGTGAAGCGCCTGGAGGGGTTTGTAGAGCCTGCGGCGGCGGCGGTGGTGGAGGCGAAGGGGAAGGAGAAGGAGGGGGAGATGGAGAGGCTTGTTAAGAGACTCGATGCACTGGAGGGGGAGCTGTCGGGTGTTAAGGAGGAGCTGAAAAGGCTAAGTAAGTAGATATGTATTTTTTTTTTTTTTTTTTGCTTTCATTTTTAGTTATTAGTAGCTGTAGCTGTAGCTGTAGGTATGTAGTATGTAGCTAGACTATAAATTCACGATTGATACCAGAGCATATATATGTAGTCTCAATATTCGCCGTATCTACTAGTAGCCCAAACCAGTATCCAGATGCTAATCATTATTAACCACACCGATCATTGACCAACTCCAACCCCCCCACCTATGTACCTCAGTTATGATCAGCCCGACCGGTCGGGGCCGCGTCCGGGAAGAAATGTGCAGCACGCATAAGATCCTCCGCTTAGATGTATGTATGTAAGATACAAGTATGTACAGTCGTGTTAAGTAAGTCCTGGCAGTCAGCACCACACGAAATATTAAAATCCTTCCCACTCAACAACCATCAATTGGATTTGATTAAAACAAAATAATTAAGCCTTGTAGATGTCCAGAGTACAAGTATTCCTACCCACAGAATTATTGCTGGATTTCTGCTTTTGTGATACAGTGACTAGTGAATATTGCGATTTGAATACTTCCAGGAGAATAGCTACACATGCACTAGCCAGAGAATTTCTGCAATGAGATCAAGGGTATCCAGGGTCACAGACTCAAGATAGACATTTAGACTTTGGAGAATGCTCTTGTTGTTGTTGAGACTTTGTGGGTAGAGCATGTGGGCCCAAATCACCATTTACAGCCGAAACTTTTCATGGAAGCTACACATTTAGTATTCATTCCAAATTCTCAAGATTTTAGAATATAATGAATAGTATCCTAATTTTCCTGTACCCTTAATTTCAAGTCCTCTGGAACTATGGTTGTTGAGGGGAACTGTGTTATATGTGCCGCTATCGCGCTGTCATCTACTGACAAGACTTGTTTAACACGGCTGTAATAAAGCCTTATCTTGTACCACTGTACTAGTAGCCCTCGTAAGCAGTACAGTGCATGTACAACTCGGTAACCTCTATCTTCTATATCCTCTACCTACTTCGTGAGAAATAAATGGTCTTTAGAAAGTTAACGTCGGTATAAGTCAATTAGCAAGTTTGATTGAGTCCTGTTCTGCTTTAATCTATCATTGACCCTGCCTTAGCTAGCTAGCTAGCTAGCCACAATTAGTGAATTATCAATCAATAGCTAACTAGCCAGCTGCACATCACGTCACGTCACCCTCATAGTCAGTCGCGCAATGCGATAGCTATCGCAAACAGCTTTGTTATCTTCGGGAGCTTTGATATCCGCTCCGGTCCAGCGGGGTCCAGACTGAGGGGTTGGAGAGCTACAAATAAGGGCTGTTTCCCAGCTGAGCTCTATCACCTCTGTGTTGTTTGGTCTCACATCAGATGTACATTGGTCGCTCGATTCGATTCGATCCAGTTCAATTCAATTCAATGCGCTCTGCAACACGGTTATAACCCCAAAAAGAAAAAAACTTATTATTGAAAACTCCTTCCAGCTAACTATGTACTACAAGAAAACATTTACTGCGGGCAGCACAACTTGTACGCACTCATACCGGCGGTGATCAACAGACCGAGCTGTCCAATGTTGTAAAAGACACCCTGGTACCTTCCCTTTCCACCGTCACCCTGCTTGCTGTTCTTGTATCCGAGGGTGTAGAAGATCCTTCCTACCGACCAGATTCCGCCGAGGATGGCAGTGGCCATGGGGTACAATGGCGCGGAGGCAACCATGAGAGGGAAGACGACGGCGAGGTTCTCCATGTAGTTGGCGTGCGAGCGCTGGGCGCAGTTGAACTGGTACTTCTTGATGTCCTTCTCGGCCTCGTCGTGGGAGACGTAGGCGTTGGGGTATGGGACGCCGGCGGCCCTACGGGCAGAGCCGACGACAATAGCATGCCATTGACCGAGGAGACCGGTGAAGGCCATGGCAGCGAGGGCGTACCTGTGGGGGAGGGGGGAAGGTTAGCCGAATGCGGGGAAGATGTGGGGCACGTGAATTGCTTTGCTTACCCATGCTCAGGAGTGATAGTAAAGACGGTGGCCATTGTGAATTTGGTAGTGGGTTGAGGAGGTAAGGTGGTAGTGATTGGTAACTGGATTGATTGATGTGGAGGAATGGTGTGATGGGTTTGTCTGTCTGTCTAAATTCTAAATCTCAGAGACTTGAAGCTGAATTAAGTACTCTCCTCAACCCAGCTTATTAATGCACCAGGGAAACTATTTTCCCATCGGACAGCGGATCACCCCATATCCGAGAGGTGGGGAGTTCATTAGACCGATCGACTAGAGAAGACTTTCGAATCCTCTGGAGCGCGGAATTCCTAGTCTACGCACATTACACGGGCTTCCGTGGGGATTCCACCTTTGACGTCTAGGTGTTTCTTTCGGCCGGGAGCATGAGCCAACCAGGGTTGTTGCATGGGTTGTTACCAGATGAGACAACCGACGGTGGACGGTGCATCTTAGCACCGACTCGGAGGGATTCAATTTATCAGCACCAACATGAAGACACGGTATATATCTTCACGAGAGCCTCAATATTCAATACTGGTAAAAGCGTGGATCAAACCGTCTACGATTTACGGTAGGACGCAGGGATTAATTAATGAGGTTATCAAGCAGGCCCCAGAATATTTCGACCCCAAGAAATATAATCCTAAAGCTCATTGATATTGTGAAAGTCTCCAAGTCTCTTGGTTCCGTGTATCCCTCCGATAAGTCTCCTGGTTCCGTGTATCCCGCTCACCGGTCCCATCATGGGAACGACAATTGGAGAGAGAGAGGAGGGAATTCAGAGACTTCTCGGCCTTGATGATAATTGTTGATAGAAATGCAAATTCTAGTGTCATGCTGGGTTCAGATGGAGTGGTGATTTGAGTAGTATAACTAGTGGCTCGTAACCACACTGAATTGAATCAGTACTTTTGAGATATCCGATGCTTCTCTTGTTTTGTTTTATCCAAGTATAGCAATTACAAGACTCGATCATTCGATCGCTCTTAGCTGGTTTGCTTGCTCAATTACCGTTAATTCTCGAATAATCCACTATCCCCCGTATTTGTGTGTGGTAAGTCCGGACCAAGGCGAATTGGTGTATCAAAATTCACGGATTCGTGCAGATACACACTTTTTTTCACCCAGAATTAAGATTTAACGAAGCGGAGATAGTGGATTTCTCGAGAATTAACGGTATTATTGTAAGAGCTAGAAGCGAATATGCAAGGACCGTAAGATTTGCTTGGCAAAGCTTGTTCTAATTAATTAACGGAACGAATATTGCCGGATATAAAGCCAGACCCAACTCCCGCAAAAACGTTATCTCCACCCAGGGATTATCTCTCGAGTAATTAGTTAGGTAGCATCGATCTTCATCAGATATTTCCCATAGAAGTAACTTTAATCTCACGGAGCTAACGAATTATTCGAGTGTTTGCGGTATTCATGAGTGTTCGGACGTTGGAAGTGAAACTCGCCTCTCTGACATCATTTCTCTGCGGCTCACGCAATCAATATTAAAGCCTATCGGCTCCATCATGATCTTGAGCAGGACAACGATACAAATCAAAGAATAGACATTGAGAGTGCTGAAAAGGGCTTAAACGGCCCATTGAAAGTGATGGATGGTTAGTTTAAGGGGTCTATGGGCGATAAAAACCAGTTTACTTGAGATTTTTAAGCAGAGTTGTCCTTTTACTAAATTCTCCGGGCTGTGGTATATTTCAGTCTTCTAGTAGAAACTCTAATTTGCCCGCGAGTCTGGTGGTGGCATCAAAGTTTGATACTTTAATTCCAGACCATATATGTATGTAGGCCTGCGAACTACGTAGAGTTTAAAGTCGTTTTGTGCTAAGTATTATTCTATTATATATTAGAGATATCTTAAGTCTAGAAAACTGTTACCAGGCCAAGCACACGGAAGTTATTGTCCCTACAAGAGGTCATCTAGGCCATCGAGCTTCAGTTTTTGGCTGTTTGCGGGAGGTTCTGCCATCAAAACGCTTTAGCGTGCTCCCAACCTTCACAGACCTAACCCAGGTCCTTAACCCACATCCCTAACCCACATCCGTGTGAGAATCCATGTATGAACATACGCCAGCGCCAGTACGTTGTTCGCATCTGCGAAATTTTAATCCTTTCTGCGCCTCACTACCCCTTCACCAAACCTCTGGATCTCTATATTATTAAAGCCAGGAGGCAATAAGCCTGATCCCGCTGTGTTGAGGCTATATGGTGCAACAGAACAATCGAATATATTGAACAGTCCCCTAAACCTACGTACTATCTGGATATGATAGAGCTTGGGATATATTGGGCCTTTTACTTTAATTTGGAGTTCTGACAATAGATTATTCACTGGCCGGGAAGGCTAGTACAGCTCGCGACATAGAGTTTTTATTTAAGCTTCACGTCGAATATCAAGTCCTCTTTTCACCCTATCCCTAGCTAGCTCTCTTCCCGCTCCCTAAAAGTCACCCCTCCAATTGCAATTGTCCAACCCCATAGTACTATACTCCAATTAGTTCGATCTTTGAACTGTACTTCTAGTTACATACTATAAGACTGCCAAGGCAATATTCCTATATATTCTTAGGTGTTATGCAAAAAAGTTAAGGCTGTAAGGGCTGACTGTACGTATAATTTAGGCAGCAATCTGCTCACAGGGGATGTAATAGGTACAATAATACGTAGGATTATGGGATTGGTAGGGCGGACATACTGTACGAGCCAAACAAAATTTAAAGACAAGGATTTCTAGTCTAACTAAGTAGCTTAAGAATCTAGAATTGGGCAAATCAAGTGAATGTTTACTAAATACATGTAGTTTACGTATGCACCAACTAACCTTTAAATATTTTAATAGGTTCATTCAATGAGTACAAATAACATAAATAACATACAAAATTGCACTTCATTTGACACCCCTGAGTTAACCACTCGGTACCGCGGTGCGAACAGTCCATTCGATGTGTCAGGCCCCGAACCCAATAACATTACCACTCCCCTTTACACAACCCATGCAGTCGCGCCGAAGATCATACCCTGGCTCCCATCATCATCATCATCCCTCATCGGACCCACAAAACAACCTACCCAGGTACCGTTGAGGCCTAGTTACAGACCAAACTGTTGAGCCACCCAATCATTTCAATGTTTCTGTTGAGCTGAGTCGATCGGGACGGTGCCTCGATCATACATAAATGATTGTACAGCGGTAGGTAATAAGTGATGGAACGGGCTGAGACACAGTGATACCTGTTTTGGGTAATAGTATCTTAGGGCGTTTTATTACTTATTACCTATCGCTGTATTCTGCGAGTAAATCTTAGGCTGGTGTCTGGTGCCAGAAAACTCCCAGGGAATCATAAAGGTGCCTGCGGCACGTCCCTGGCAGTTTTCTTCTGGCACCAGAGAGTAGTAAAGCTAAGCGCTATATATAAACGATCACTGGCGCTCCCTCCCCTATAGGGGCTTCGCCCCCGTACCTCTTCTCATAATCATAGATAGAGAAAATAATGAAGAGCGTATTAATTGGTAAATACACTGCTTAACTATCGCTTAGTCATTAATTAATAAACCCCCGTCCCTTCGGTCCAAGCGAAAAAAAGCAACCTATCACAACGCCTTCCGGTACGCAATAACGCCTTCCTCTATGGAACCCACCGTATAGAAAGAACTCCCGAGGAAATGAAAATTCACTTGTTTTTGGCACTGTCGTCCTTCTCGTCATTTGAATTCTCCTTGCTTCCCTGCGGACAATGTATCAGTGATATGGTATCGAAGGGTTTCGGGCAAATCTTACCGTAGCGATAACCTGCGAGATATATATATAGATCTTCATTACTACGAATGGAAAACAATAGATAAAGTACTGTTGAAACTCATAGTGATTCTCGACGATCGATATGCTGAAACTTAACCGTGGCGATGACTGCTGCTTGTGTTTTCGTTGTTTGGTATGATGATGTGAGTTTGCTTGCTTGTGGTTTCGTTGTGATGATTGAAGTTGCTTGTATTGTTGACCCTCTCGCCCAAGCGATATGTAACGGATTACATCCCTTCGTTCGTTTTGACTAGAAACGCTATTAGGGGTGTTGAACTTACTCTAGCGACCTTTATCTCTAGCACACCTAACCCACACTCCGCGAACCTCTTTAGGCTCGAAGTCACAGTTTGTGACCTCTTTTTCAACCGTTCTTTCCACTCCTAGAGGATATCCTCTCCCTGTAGCAGTTAGTATTTTGGATATCAACTCAGCATTTTCTTGCGAAAACCGGGCACGAACGAAGGGATAAAGAACCTCTGCTGCCGAAAGAACTGGTATCCGATGAGCCGCATACGTGTGGACTCCACGTTGTTGGCCAGCTGTTGTGTACTATCTCTTCTTCGTCGAACGATACGAATACGAGATGATCAACTAGCAAACAGGAGCATATAGACAAGAAGAGACAAGAGCTAGCTAGAGAATGTCCGCGATGCGGACACTGTGTAACATAGTATCCCTAACGCTACGTTTCCTTTGGGCGCCTAGTTCGGCTAACCCACGCGTCTAAAAACGTATTACAAATGCTATGCCCAACAACGTTGCATAAGTAGACGGAGCATACTGATCCGAGCCTTCCTACACTGAATACCGTCGTTGTTTGTCTGCTGGCTGCGTGCTGTCTCGCATCGCGTCGTTTAGAACTCCTTCATGGTAGTTGTACTGGAAAGGAGCCTTTCTGTGAAATGGCGGGGGGAACACGCGCCTATGCCCACTGGTGAAATAGTTATATTTATCCACCGCCCAGTCACTAATGACTAATAGACCCTGTCCCTTCAGTCATCTAAAGTCGTGATTCAAACATCTGGCAGCACGCGTCCTGATTCGTCCCGCGCCGGTAACATAATCAGATTAGATAAGACAATGAGACACAATCGAAGGCGGGAGGCTGCACTGCAGAATGACACGGGTATGTGGAATGGCTTATGTGGTCTAGAATATTGCGGTGGACAGGTACGTTCTATCTCCCATGGACACGAGACTGGTATACGAAACATAATACTGTTATCGTGGGGGGTACGCTCAGTGACAGTCTTATTATTTTTGCAAGATTTTTCACTGGTTTTGGCCGGTTTATTGGGCCCCGTTTTGTTTCGAACTGATGTTCACGTCTCGTTTTTTATACTCTACAGAACCCTCAAATCTAGCCAACGGCGCGCAGTACGGAGTGTATATTTGTTTAGTATTCTCGTCGTTTTAGTCTCACATACTCGTGCGCTCCCGTTGAGAGAAACAGTATGTAAAGTACACATGTACCTACTCGACATATTCACAAGGCTACTAGAACTTGAGACATGAGCACAACCGGTGCTCTACTCTGTTCCACTGTAGACATGCCTAAACCCACTCAACGACAAGTGCCGACATATCACCGAAGGTCTAGGGAGAAGACATAACTACCCACCACGGGTACCATGGTAAGCCCTTGATAGCGCATGTCGAATATACCCCCATACATGCGTACATGGCACAAAACCATGAAACCTCCCAGTGCCGCCATGTGTAGAAATATTCGACTCTACCAGCACACACTCCACCACAGAGCCTCTCGATGCGTGGATCTAAGACGACATATGGCCCTGAACCCAATCTTAGACAACTCAACAGCCCACAGTCGCGGAGTAGAGTAAGACATGAGCCAACGTGATCCATGTATCCTCCCGTTTCTCCGGCTCCCCTTGACCGAACTTAATTAATAGTGCAAGTACTGCGGGTGTAACCTTTCGAGAAGGCTTGGTATATATGCGTTTCCTGGTCAAGCACTGCTGTTTAGTCCCGAGTGATGGCAGGACTGTTGGAAAGTCCAGCCCACGTGGAAGGTTTTCGGACATTGATTTGTAGGGTTAGAATATTGGGCGTTGGCTAGAGCTTTGCAGTTCGGAGGTTCGGTTCTGCGGATGATAGCTTTTGGTAGCTAATATAATTCGAACACATAACGTAAAATTGTCAGGCGTTTTGTTGAGGACGGTGGCTGTAGAAAGTGCTGTGCGAATAGCGCAAAGATTCTACCTACTAGTCCTCGTGGCGAAAAGAACGGCTGCTCAGGCACTCCTGTGCTTGTGTCTAGGTAGACACTACGGGGATGCGTAAGTACTCTGGAGATGGATGTGATTAGGTACTCCGCGCCCCTACCAACCGAATTAAACTGCATATCGATGATTGACTGCAACGCAGGTGCGAAGTTCGCCGACTGGGCCTCGCCAGAAGATAAAACCGCCCTCAAAAAACAGAAACCTCACGAGAAACCCGTGCGTAACTGCTTAATCTGACTAACGCCTTCATCCCCGCAAGACAGCCCATCCATCCATCACTTCCGGCTATATTCACAACTCCACCACCTTCTACCCCGCGATGACCACCCCTCACTGAAACAAAAATGAAATGAAAAAATAGAGATCTGGGCTGAATATATTATTCTGCATCAACGGACCGATAGAGTAGAGCATGCATCATCGATAGAGTGCCCAATTCTGGTTGTGGGTACTCGGAATTTAACTCTGGAGTGGTAATGATTTCAAAACGGGCCTTTTATTGAATTCGGCTAGATGGGGGTGTAATTGATATTTAAATATCGGGGTGGTAGGTAATTATGGGAATGGAAGCTAAGCAGGTAGGTTAAAGTAGACTTAGCAGAGAGATCTGAGAAAAAGAGGAGAAAGGAGACACTCACGTGCCCACCAGATAATTATTCGGGTACTTCCACCTCTGTAAATATCTCAATTTGCAGTCTCCAGTTGTCGCGAATTGTGGTAGAGTATGGTATGTATGTATTGAGCAGAGATTCTACTCTAAATAGTAGGTACATGTAGTTACCTATGGAGTCTACAGCACAGAGCTGATGACCCGGAATTTCACTTTTCAAGACGCTCAAGGAGTAACTACATGCATGGACCGTGCACCATACCACACCTGGACAACGGTGCCAGCTCACGAATACAGCAACATCCCAACTCGCAAGCAAGTAAGCAACCTAGACATGACAAGCAAGGAAGAGAGGGGGAAAAAAGAAAGAGAAAAACTGATTCAAGTACCTATTGTGTCATGATGTGTGCAGGTAGGTGGTCTGCCCTCACTTCCGTAGCAGGCGAGTGCCGGTACCTACCAAAAGTGCTGTGCGGAGATCGTCAAAATGCAGATGTACCTACTAGTAGATGTGGAGTAACTGCTCTACCTACCTGTAAACTCTTCTCCCTTTGCTCCTTTCATAGACAGACGTACCTCACTTCCTTCCCGAAACTCACTTCTAGCCTATCGACTATTGCCCCAGCAACCAGGCCTGGCCTACCCCCTCTCGATCTCCTGGTACACTTCCCACCCCATCCCAGGCGTCCTGTCCGACTGACCAGTGAACCGAGCGAGAGTCTCTGTTCTGTGTCTCTGGTTGGCCTTCATCATTTTCCCCGGACTGTGCACGCTCAGCATACCCACCGGGAAGAGGCGGGTATCCGTTGCGTTACAGACACAGTTACAGTTACGGACGTTACTTTGATCTTTCGGAAGTCGAGTCGTTCAAGTCGGGTCACTCTCTTTTTATTTATTCTTAGGCCGGGGGAAGGGGTTCACTCAGGTTTATCTATAGTTGCAAATAGACATACTTTATGGTAGCAGGTCCTCAAAACTGTGCGAACGAATACTACCAGTGCTATCAAAAGTAGAGTACCACCTGCCTTCCGAATAAATTGAACCAAGGTCGGTCTAGTCCTGTTTGCGTTTATTACCTTGGTCTTTTTACCTGTTTGTATTATATTAGCATTATTTCAAGTATCAAAACTGTTGTTCTCATCTCCAATCCCTACATACCTAGCCCCTGTACCCCCGAAAACCAAAACCTCATCTCCTGTTTTTTTCCTCTCAGCATCCGATCCGCGCTACAATGCCCGCCAGCCCTTCAACTACCTAACGTCTCTCTACCTCTCTTCAAGTCAAGCTGACATGACAGAAAGAACCTCCAGATATAACAAGTAACCACCATATGCTGATCTGCAATGTGTTTACCCCCCATATCCCGTGGCGCACCCGGGAAATCGCCCCCATCGTCATCATCGTCCACGTCTTCGACCTCCACCGGGCCCACAAAACGTCGTAGGCGTGGCGAGGATGAAGTTGCGACTCGGGTAGCAGCTGCTACAAGCTCAGGTTCGACGGGAAAACATCTAAGGTCTTCAGCGCCAGTCCGAAGAGGGAAGGATGGTGGTGTTGATGGCGGCCCGAGCAGGAGAACGTCAACGAGAGGGCGGGAGCGGGGCGGGAGGGATAGAGATAGGGACACATCAAGACTAGCACCGCCCCGGGCCCGAGAGGCAATGGAGAGCCCCCTTCCATCACCGGCCTTCTCGGAGAAGAGAAGTTCATCGAAGCGACACCACCACTCTTCAGCATCAGCATCAACATCAACAAGGAGGAGAAGGTCGGAATCACAAACCTCGACACCAAGGACGCCGGCAACAGCAACTTTCCAGAAGGAGAGAAAGTCAAGAAAGAAGCCCGCAGATATGATTGAGAAAGAGCAGATCATCACTATGCAAGCGCCGCTGCGGGGTGGCGGAACCATTTCTGGGCTAGTAGTGATTCGACCCGGGAGTAGCGGTGAGAGCGGGAGAAGCAGGACAAGCAAGAGCTCATCCAGGGAGAGGTCCAGTGAGAGCAGCAATACTAGCAAGGCAACTACGCTGGTGGCTAGCGGGGCTGGAACAGTTGGACTAGGAATCTCACTAGAGAGCTCAAGACCCCCAACGCCGACTTCGAAGGGAAAGGTGGAGAGATTAATGGAGATTGAACAGGTTGAGCAGAAAGTTGCCCAAGTTACTGTGCCAATTCCAAAAATTGAGGTGGAGGAGGTAAAAGAGGCCGCCAACGAACCTGTGAAGCTTATGAGGGTGATTCCACCTCCAGCTCCAGCCCCGGCCCCTCCGGCCTCGATACCCCAATCGAAAGCTGCCCCCCCCCTTCCAGCCTCGATACCCCAATCGAAAGCTGCTCCTCCAGTAGAAACATACCCCATAATGGCAACCCTTGTATACCCCACGAAAGAATCGTTGGCCTACCAGCCAATATCAAGATACCAAGTAACATCTAAGATAACATCGACAATTCCTAATCCTCCTGCTGTGCGGGCTATACCTTTGATAATAGATCCGGCAAACGTCCGTCTTCCACCGTCAATGCTGAAATATCAAAACACCTCACCTTCTTCCTCTGTCCACGAAATTCCTCTGCGCGGCGGCGGAACACCCGCATTATCAATATCACAGCAGTCTTCATTATCATCGCTAGTATCTACGTCAACTTCCTCCTCGGCAGCATCTGCATCATCATCAGTAAAAGAGCCCCCATCAAAAGAACCGCATATACAGTACCTTAATTCTACCGCATCCTCATCAACCTCTTCCCTCGTCTCCGCTTCATCCACACAATCTTTTCAATCAGCTAGACCCCTTACTCCGCAGCAGAAGGTGAATTATTACCGCTATGCTGCAGTTGCACCTACTCCTGCCCATCGACCGTTGCAGGCGATTATGGACTCCCCGCGCCTACCACGTGCAGGACCTTGGGACGGCATGCCAGGTGCAGACCCAAACCTAGGTGCCTACTACCGTAACGCTGCTGTAGCTGCCGGGAAACCCAAACCAACACAGCCAGCAGCACAAAAGGAGGAACAAGTTGATCTGAAAACCCTTGCTGCGTGCTACGCAAACGCGAAACAAAAAACAGCACTTGAAAGGGTCAAGTATGAGCGGAGTGACGAGTCCGAAACTGAAGCCTCGGATGAAAGCGCCAGTGAAATCAGTGCTATTTCCTCGCAGCACTCGTACTACCGTACACGTACCACCACCATAACAGCCCCAGAACCAGATAACACACTAGCACTTTCACCGACAAAGAGGGAACACACCACCACAATTGCTGGGCACAAGGTCTTCATCAGCACGCTCCGCCGCTCCGCACCACAGGTTTTCCATACCGCACGACCACCACCCGCACCTACGCCACCACCGGGGGGTGGGGCAGCCTCTGCTATTGGTGAAGAGGATGAAGAGGGACCACCAGAGGGTTCCGCCGAGAATTGGTTTAGGGGCATGAAGGAGCAGATGGGGAAGGATACGGGTGTAAAGGAGGGATGGGCCGATGAGGAGGATGAAGTGGTCGTCCCAGAAGGTATACCGCCGCCCGCCCCGACACCGCCTTTGGTGAGGGAGGAGGAGGAGATACACCTAGATAATGGATATTACGGGAGTCCTAGGATGCCATATGGGTATCAGATGTAGAAGCTGCGCGGCTGTTGGTTGTATAATGATGAATGATGTTAATTGGTCTTTGCTTCTGTCTCTTCTCGTTTTTTTCTCGTTAGTTCGGTGTTATAGTCCTATGGTTTCTTATGTCTTTGTGGTTTGGCGGGCGTATCCATTGTTTTTTTCTCTTCCCTTTTTACACCATTTGTTTTGAGTACCACGGGGTTATATTTTTTTTTGTGGTTTCCATATATAGCATAACTATAACTATAGCTAGCATTGGTTCGGGCATGTTATCTTTGGTGTTTTGCGTTTTTGAGAACTACCTAGAGGTGTTTCTCCCACCCGTCCCCCATTTGGTGAGGCCATGTTGTGACAAGAATTGCGAAATTTCCTTCTGTTTCCATCAGATCAGCTGTGTTTAAGAAGCGTCTTGATATGGGTGTGTGAGGGCTTTCCTGGTAAAAGCAGTCAGTTTGCATTGTATATAAAGGGCGGTGAAAGCCCGGAATGTCATCGAATCCATTGGAATGAGGTTCATCGTTTTCGTAACGTCGTTAGCATAGGACCCCCCGTTTCTGAGGATAGGCCCCATAGAAAGCTGAGAAATTTTTAGCGATTGCCAGTCTCGACCAGTAGTGACAAGCATAAGACAAGTATTGATGACTTTGAAGGACAATGTAGGAGATGAGGGCTGGGCATATGTTGATGACGTTACTATAAGCCAATAGTAACAGAAGCTACAATGTCCTCAGGTTAAACTTCGAAGTGAGGGTTCGACGTTGTTACCGGAATTAGACCACATTTGCAACGGTAGTAGCAGGATGTTGTTCTTAGTTAAGAAATAAATAGCTCTTTAAGCTTATGTACTTTTTTTACCGACGTCACTAGAGCAGCGGTGCATTCTCCCACTAACGCAGGTTCAATACAGTATTCCTTAAACTACATATTTCCTCTCATTTTTGGTTATGCACGCTGATCGATTTTTCCGGCGGTATCTATCCCGAGAATGTTGGCATCTTTGGCCCTTTTGACGAAAAACAGAGACACGCTAGACCAAATAAGGAACGGAAATGATCAAGATTTCAGTTTTTGTGACACGGCGCTATATATTTATTCTTGCAAACGATAACACTAATTCTGTGTGGTTTCTCTATGAATTATTCCTTTAAAAACTAATTTCTTCGTCCAATATCTCCTTATTGTTTCCTCTCAATAGATTTTGGGGACTGGTCTTTGTCCTGTGCGTCATGATCATGGTGAAAGAGGCCTAACTGGAGACAAAAAGCGAAGCGATTTCTGATATCTCATGGTATATAAGAGACTACGGATCTGTGCATCTTATATTCTTTAAAATCTAAGCCAAAGCGTATCACGTATAATAGGTGCACCCCAACAGTCTAGACATCCAAGGTGATGCCTCATGAACCGTTACAATTAAACTCGCCACTAGTCCATTGATTTATTTATCATGTGAGCCCTTATTTAAAGACAATGCTAAGCCTTAAGCTCAAAGAAATACCATCGCGATCAACCAAAATCGCAACAACTGATTTGGGAAACAGGTCCTAAATAGCATTAGGCCCGCGTAACGCTTAGTCGTCAAGGCGGCGAGAACGAGATCATGGCTTCTCTCGTTTTTTTTGTTTCACTTCTCTTTTCTTCCTCTCTCTCTCTCACCCTTGCTTGCTCCTTCTTCCTCCCTCATCCCCGTAGTCCATTAACTCCATGGATCCATTGATTGCAGATCGCCCGGCGAGCAAAATGAGTAACCGTCAAGCTAGAAATAAAAAGGTTATCATCGCAGGAGGTGGTATAGCGGGGCTTACACTGGGTGTACTAATCCTTAGTCATGCTAAGGAATTCTATGATGTCGTTATCCTTGAACGAGTGAGATTTTCATCTTCTCATCTATGATCCTTGCTGATCTGAACGGTTCTGACATTGATTCGTAGTTAAAGTTCGACAATAACAACAAGTCAGGCTTCGCTATGGCTTTAACCAAAAACTCCTGGAGAGTTTTAGCCACTCTGGGACTCGATCTTATCAAGGAAGGTATCTCATTGCCGTATGTTAATCCCCTTGGAATCGTTTCCTCCTACTTTGGCTAACTGTATCGTTTTAGAATTAATCGTATAATCATTCACCACGACGAGGGTTCCGAGAAGGTATTCTCACACGCAAATAACATTTTCCCTGACCCCAAAACAATCCAATGGGTCGAGCGCGGTCCTCTCCAAAACCTGCTGCTGGAACGCTTCGAGAAACTTGGTGGTGTTATCGTGTTCGAAAGCAGTGTTAATGATATTAGTGTCTGCCCCGATGGAGACTTAGTTGCCATCCTTTCCAACGGCCAGTCTTGTGTCGGTGACTACATTATTGGTGCGGATGGCGTCAACTCCAACGTGCGCAAGTACCTCTACACCGAGTATCCGCCCACCAAATCCCCAAGCCGCTGCCCAATTGGGGAGTTGTGGCCATATAACATTCTACGTCCCTTGTCTTCTTTAGTCCATATACTCACCAGGGCAAAGAAGCCAGAGGTATGGGAGGCCTCACCACTACCCTGGACAGCCCTTTACGGTATTACATCTCCATTACCTCAGCGCCTTCTTACTGGCGGTGAAACAGGCGAGGGAGCTTTGGGAACCATGCACTGGTACCTCCGCGGCGTCTCTGGCTGCTATAGTACTTGCTCTCTTCAAGATGGTCGTGTTTTTTGGGTTTGCTATAATAGTGAGCCCGTGTCGAAAGGCACCTACTTCACTGCTGAACAGGCCGAGGAGAATAGGAAAAGCTATGATGCTGCACCTTATTGCAGTGCCATTCCTGATGAGAACGGAGAGATCCCTGTTGGAGATGCTGAAAAGAATACTAAATTTCAAGAGATTACCTCCCGCAGTGAAAGAATTAAAAAAGTCCGCCTTCATCATACCATGTTCTACGAGATCTCTAACCCAGCCAAGAATATCCTCCTTATTGGCGATGCCGCGCATGCGATGAGTACCTTCCGCGGGCAGGGTGCCGGTATCGGAATCGAAGAGGCTGTCGTTTTATGCAATGGGCTACTCAGATCCGCCTGGCAAGCTAGGGAGCCTGACCTCGAAGCCTCCCCGGAGATGATTGGGATCGGATACTTTGAGAAGTCGAGGATGGAAAGGAGCGAAAGAATTACGAGCTCTGGATGGTATTTCGGCTTTGCGGTAATGGGCGATTGGTGGATCACCAGAGTTATCAGAGACAGGTTTCTACGAGTTGCATTAAAGGCCCCAACACCTCACCAATCTGAGGAGGAGGAGAGAAGGGTTGGAGCGGAGAATGACAATGAAGACGGAGCAAATAGAAGGAAGGGGCCCACTAACTGGCTCATCGACCACCAGGTGAATGTGGATACTGACGAACGTAAGTACTGGGACGAGTACGAGGAGAACGAGAAGATTAGGCTCAATCAATGCTAGGACCCGAAAGATTCTTCGCATATTAAGCCATGTTATTCTTCTGAGGCAGCCCGGCGATGCATAGATCTCTTTCATACTTTGAAATTTTACATTTAGTCTCTGTTCACCACTGCCAACCTATTTTTCTAGGGGTTCATAACCATCAGTAAAGGTTTTCTTTTAATTCACCCCCCAGACTGTTCAGACCGAAGAAAACCGGGAGGCTATGATCACTACCGGCTCATGTCACATTTTCGTAAATCATCTTTCAACGTTTTCCAAAAATTCTGTCGTGGGATAGATCTGTCCCCGAAGTCGCTGTTTTACTCAGAGGTTAGATGTTAATAGGTTTCACTAGTTAGATAACTTATTATTAGAAATAAGACTTGTATCAGATCCGACTTGCGGATTAATGATGTTGAAGACGATTAGCCCTGGGGTAATGACTAATCGGCCAGAATTTATGTAGTGTACTCGGGGCAGGCATGAAGAACCTGAACATCGTTTTTCTGGTAGCAACCACTTTGACCCCTGCTAGCGCGTTTTTATGTTTAGGTTCTTGTTACCTGCCCCGAGTACCTTGGGTCTCGAGGCCACTGTGCCACATACATGTATCTACTAAAGATCTTGCTTCCTTGCTGACAAGGTCCGCTAACAAAGGATTTACTTCGGGCTTTTCGGCCCCCAAGGTGGCCACTTACGTCAAATCAGCTTCCAACATGATTGGAGAAAGCACCATTCAAGCTATTGGTTACTCCTACAGCGATGGGGAAAATTATTGTAGAAACAGGGGTCTAAAAACAGGGTTTAGGTGGCTGCCCTGGCCAATAGGACTCTTACCATACTTCTACAATAATTTTCCCCATCGCTGTAAACGATTACTCATTTACAAAGCCGTATCATTGACAGCGCTGATACCCCTGTAGCATACACAGCACGCGCAGCGAATGATAGTGAGCGGATCTGCTGCAGGGACTGATTAGGAGAAATATTACGCCTCAGATTTTTCTCTAATCACATGCCAAAAAGTAAATATTCTGAAGATATCAGATTCTACTCTAACCTATCGTTAATGTCGGCCGCGGATTAGACGTATGTATGTCGGTCCTTTCAAGCAAGAACATGTAGGTAGATTACTCCGACCCGAGTGGCCCGTAGACGCCCGGAACAATCCGGGTGAAATGGGTATTTGAAACCCGTCCGCCGCCCTACTCCAGAGTACTGTGCTGTGCGGCTCAGGTGATTATCACGACTTGACTCCGCAGTGTTGATTTTTTCTTCTTTTCTTTGCGTGTACGTTGAATTGGCAGCGTAGCTAGAGTATATCATCATCATCATGATTGCATGTTCGTTTTTGAGAAAATATTGATATTTTCTTATGAATATGACCCAGATAAAAAAAGTTACCCCACTTGTGGAGTTGTTATGAAACAGTGAGATGTAACGGGACAAATCAATGAAAAGAGCTTTCCAAAATGACTTAACAAGGTTGCCATATGTTCCGTCCCAGCAGTAGACAACCTGAGCCCCTCCCATATCGTATTCTTTTTTTTTTTCTTTTTTTTTTTTTCGGTCCAATCTGTTAATGAATTTCGGGGCGTTATGCCTGGTTAAGAAAGAAGTCGCTTGCTTGCTCAGATAAAAAAGAAAGGAATAAATCAAGAAAAAACAAAAACTGGAAAAAAGGAACTACTCGGGTATGAAAAATCCAATCCGCTAAAGAAGACACCTGGCAATTTGTAGGTATATTTGTTTGGTACTCCGATTGATATCTCCTCAAGATTCAGCCTTTGTTCGATTTAAAAATCAAGATAAGAAAGAACCTCATGATAATAGAATGTTCACACTCACATTGCTTGTTGAAAGAAAGAAAGAGAAAAAAACTTAGAAGGCCCAGCTGCTTGTAAAATTCCTGTTCGGTTTCAGAATGAGTTTGAACTCTTCTTCCGAATCATCGTAATCGTCGTCAAAATGCATGCCGTATGAACCCTTCCCGAGGATTCTCCCGGCCTGGTCAAGAAGATTCACGATCTCCGACTCATCGGGCTCCACGTCACCCTTGACCGACTTCGGGGTCTTCGGGTATGGATATTCGGAGAGGCCAGGTGTGTCCGCACGATTCGCTTCATAGTCAAGAGGCGATTCTTCGTGGGCCACGGATGTGTTGGACGGCATCTCAATCACCTGCTCGACAATCTTCCCGCCCTTCGATTCAACGTCGATGCGGGGAGCCGCAACGTCAACCAGCCCGTCAGGCAGATCTTTCGTGGTGGCCATCATCATGTCTTCATTTGATTGTGATTCTGCTGGCGCTGCATCTGTCACAAGCGCTGCTGCTGCTGCTGGGTGATCTTCTGAGTGAGGTTTGATATCCAGCTGGCCCTGCAACTCTTTCACGGTGCCCTCGAGCTCCGCAATCCTTTGAGTAAAAAGCAACTTCTCCGATTCCCATATTGACCTTTCAAGGTCCTTTCCTTGGCGTTCGTGGGACAGGAGGTTGTGATACTTTTCATGTAATGATGCTAATGCTTGGGAAACTGTGTCTGTGGATGAGCTAAATGGTGTTTCGAACGGGGGCGCACCATCATGGCCACTATCACCCCGCTTAAGCTTGTTGTGCGGGACCTGCTGGAGAGCAAAGGTACCCGACGAAAAGGAGGGTAAGGTAGGAGGAGCGATGAACGCAAGAGGAGGTGAACGTGAACGGCCTGCCATCTGAAATTTTATCGATCTGAGGTAAGGATTGCGATGAATCTAACGGGTTCCTGTGGCGTGGCGTGAAAAATTTTGTTTCAGGTGCGACCGAAGGGAAACCGTGCCTGCCCCGACAAATACTTTTACATAATCAGAAAATGGGCCGATTTGGGGGTGATGATGAAACTTCGAAAATAATCAAAGTACTCTTTCGTACTGCAGTCACGCATTATATATCTGTTCTAGATTGGGTGAGCTTTAGTTAGCGAAGATTTTAATTATCTTGATAACATGCACTACTGCTCTTTCCCGCTCTCCGAGTGATCAAACATGAAGCATCTATTACACAAAATTAATTCCATCAAACCCAGCACGTAGAAACACCCAGTAATAGTAGAATAAAAGTAAAGATTTATTTTCTAAGTTACGCCAAACGCATATTTCACCACGTACTAGAGTTCCTCACTTAATTCGTACTGGATCTTATGGATTCAAGGTACCCAACCAATCTCTTCTTAATAACAACACCTATCAACTCACCTGTCCTTTCCCTGGTCACGCAGACATACCTCAGACCCAACTTCCCAAACAGCTCAACTGCGTATTCCATAGGTGCTAGTTCGCTCAAAACCATAGGAGTTTGGTCCACAAACATCGATAGGTCCAGCGTGTCCTCTTGCGTTACGTCCTCGCCATCGCAAATTAAGCGCACGCTATTACAGCCCAGCTCTTTCCCCAGACCAAACTCGAGCTCACCCTCACTGATATAGCCTCTTAGCATTCTATCTTCCACTAGAACCAAACCAGCATCCATCAAACCTCTCCTGCGAAGAAGGGCTAATTTTCCTTCCAACAAGTCTCTCGATACGCACCCGTCACTGCCCAGGTGCACAGTTATCTCTTCCATCGTTTGCTTTGGCGGTATCAGCTTTCTCACCAAGGCGTCTTCCTTTCTAGCCGCTGAGATAGCAGCTTCGGCGTCAAGAAACGGGTGCCCTAGGATCATCTGCGCAAGGTCATATATCCCCTCCTTTTCTAGAGAATCTGCTGTCCATTTGGCAACGAGAATAGCTATCATATGCGGCAAAACGAACTCCAGCTCTCCCGTCAACTCAAACATAATAACGCATAGAGATAGCGTCATTCGTGTTACTCCAGCTAGCGCTGCCGCCGCTCCAACCATCGCAAAGATGCCAGGAGAAGCACCTATGACCGAAAGCCCCACGAGCCTCCCGAACAAAGCACCAGCGTCTAAAGCTGGGATGATGATTCCGGAAGGGACCTTGCAGCCGAAGGTGATTGTGGTAAGGAATAACTTTGTGAAAACCCCATAGATAAGCCACATACGTGCAGCTCTCGGGTCATTCTTTTCAACCGAACAAAGCCAATCTTTCGAGTCCTTGGTACACTCAACAAGCATACTTTTTATCAAACTATCACCTCCCTGTCTGGTTATAGGATTGGGATATTGAAGAATCCCGGTTAAAGCAACCACGGCGAAAACCTCAAGAACCGGGTGATTTCTTATGACTGGAATTTTTCGAAACTTCTTGGACCATAAAAAGTTTGCTTTGCAGAATGCAGCGCCAAAGGCTCCACCGGATATACCAAGAAAAACGAAGAAAAGGTAATCCAGAGGACTATAAGTGGTTTTGTAGGATGTTTCGAAGAGAATTAATTTTCCTGTTCCGAGAGGATTTAATTGCTTCAGTGTTGCAGCTGCTATGAGAGAACAGAAGAAGGATCGCCAAAGAACCTTTCGGGGAAAATAGGTGCTGATTTCCTGATAACAATGGATTCCTTATGTTAGGTACGTGTACTAAACAATAGTAACAACGGCTTGACTCTTGAGACCCACCTCAAAACTAAACAACACACCTATATACGCGCATGACGGTCAGCACAGCCACATTTCGAGATCCAATACTATGTCAAGAATTCATACCTCCAATAGGTGCTCCAAAAGCTACACTCAGACCGGCTGCACATGATGCACTTATTATCTCCCTCTGCTTACGAGCATTATCTCTATACTTTGGGAATAACCGGGCAACTATATTGCCAACACACGCAGATATATGCACAAAGGGGCCTCCAACAGTCAGTATATATAAGTCAAGATCCCAAGATCTTCAAAAAAATACCTTCTTTCCCAAGACACATCCCTGACCCAACAGCAAAAACCGCTCCGGTAGCTTTGATGAACAAAACCCTAAAGCCCAAAAACCCCTTGATCACAAAACCCGAGAGGATAGTTTTTATCTCCGGAATTCCAGAGCCACTATTAAGTTAGCCGTTTAATCTAGCAGTCCCATAATGAGAGGATATAGATACCTAGCCATATACATGATCTTCGTGTCACTTTTATCGCAATCAACTCTTGGCAACACATGCCTTGTCGTCATTGTTAATCCAGCACTCAAGACTCCATACGAAGCTGCTACAGCCAAATACAATGGTCCTTTGCCCCAACCATCCGTCCATTCCCTCCAATCACTACACCCACCCTCAAGCTCATCAAATACCTTGCAACAACTCCCTTTATCTAAGAGCGGCGACGTGGAGCAGTATCCATCTTTCCAGTCGAACACAGAGGCTTGCGTGATATCAACAATATAAGCTACTACCGCTGTAAAGAATCCAATGAGGGCTGCAGCTAGCCACCCTTGCAGCGATTCGAACACTCTGCTCTTTGAGGAGAGATGTCGATGACGAACGGAATCCTTGATCTGGATAATTGTTGCTGTTAGAGAATTCAATAAACGTATCTGAGGACTACTTACCAGCTCGTGCATCCAGTCGATCGTTGTGTATTCATTGTAGGGAAGTCGTTCACCTACTGAAAGTAGTTCGTTATCATCGTCATCTCTTTCGTTGGTCAACAACGGACCTGCCGGAGATGCTGCTTGTGCATCTCCAGATATCTCTGCAATATCTTTATCAGGCATTTCTTTTAGAGAAAAGAAGATAGTCTTCTTGTCCCGGCCAGCGATGAGTTATGATGATACCAAACGCACACAAGCGAGATGACCGAAGAACAACACGGATACAGTGTTATTTTGACAACGGCTTATGAAGTTGATGGTAGACCTGTGATGGGAGAGACAGCTTATATATAACTGGCATCAATTACAGGTTCCGAGGAGATACTATACCTATAACAATTCTTTTATAACACCACAGAAAGCTTAATGTTTTAGACTTCAGGGTTCCACGTGGGCATCTATAACTCATTTGTTGGTGCATTTCGTTGATGCTGTCATCCACATGCCTCCGGCTCGGAACAGTGGACAGAATAGTCTTACGGGTACGTAATGATCTGCAGATCTAGTGTCAGTGTTACTTCGGATGATTTACATCCTGCGATCATGCGTATAATTATATAATGTGAATCTAGTCTCGTGGCTAGCTAGACTCCTTGTGTCGATATTTGCATAGTCTGCGACAAAACTCTGGGAATGAGACCAGCTTAAGCTGAAAATCTTTATAATACCTCCTTCCTCATACACTACATGTAGTGAGAGGCTTACTTTAGATCGATAGGATTACTACATTTGATAACCGTCCTCGTTGGTTTCGACACGATATATTGAATCCAGATTTACAGAGCAAAGAGAAAGTATCAGTTATAACTGTCTCTAATATAGTCAGCATTCCAAGATCTAAAACCCATGAAATTCCCGGGCTTGCACAAGAGGCTGAAAGATAATCCTGGCCAAGAGATACGCGTATATGTAGGATGTAGGTACATGTACTATGTACCTATAATGTGGAGATCAGATAAGACTTTAAATGCCGACAGGAATTCCGCACCCATGATATATACATCTATATGTCCCCAGATCTAGATGCCTGCATATATGTCTTACCGCAGTTCCCATCTACCAAAATCCCGGATCGACTTTTCTCAAGATTCATGCTTTCGTCACTTTGATCCGGCTTTACATCTCTGCTTCCCTGCAGCAGACTACATGAATTCAATCGTGGTCATGTGATTGAATTCGTTGCGGCGGCGGCCCCGCGGCGGCCGGGGTGGAGGGGGTGGAGGGGGTGGAGGGGGTGGAGGGGGTGGAGGGGGTGGAGGGGTTAATCACATGATTAGGAATAAAGTTGGTGTGAATATCGCAGAACAGCTAGATGAAGAGAACACAAGGTTGAACGTAGCCCCCATACCGAGACCCTCAAACTCATTCATCTTCATGTATCCTTCGCATCAAATCCGTCAGCTAAAATTCTCTTGAAGATGCATAACGTATACCGATACGTATACGCTATGCAGCCTAGAGTTTTGCTAAACTTTCGGTACCCAATCCCGACTTCGAGGCCAAAGTATGTGAGGATATTTCTTTGAAAATTTGAAAGCTTCCGGTTCGTAAAGTTTTCGCTCCTCGCCCTGATGTAGATAGTATATCTGACTAAATGAATACAAGCAGGCATCATTATTTTCGGTTGCCGCAGCCCCCAATTTCAGTTTTACAGATTGTGGTCCGAGCTAGATAGCCTCTCTCTAAAGACAATAAGGTCGACTTGAGAGGATTATCCAAAAGGCGTCGAACTTAGACGTCATAGACCAAGTAACCTTCATCACGCCAATAAGTGTGGTCACAAGCAATCACTCGCAATTCCTTCATCGGGATTTCAAGACACTCTACAGGCTAAAGGTGTTCTCGGCCCGGGCATCCGGAATTTTAATAACGGCTCGGTTGGAGTTACATAGCAAGATCTGTGCCTCCTTGTGAATTGTGCCTGTGCCTAATCCCTGGGAAACCGCGTCGTACAGTCTCACTCGATGGGACACCACAATTGCCTCCGATGTTTTTTACTTTCTTTTTTTCTAAATTTTTTTCTGGTTATGCTTAGTTCACCAAATAGGTGTCGGACAAGTGATCTATTTGAGTTATTATCCATCTTAAATCCCTAGTTCAGCGTCGTGGTTCTTTAGGTGGGAATTGCATGTAGGTCTTATATCCTGGATGAATGAGTTGAAGCTAAAAAGAACCAAAAAGCTTGGATTTTCTTAGGGACGGCGCCACCCGATTAATACGTAAGCCTCAAGCGAGACATGCGGTGACTTCACTGATCACGGACACAAATTTTAGTAAGAATCCAAAACCCGGTGGCCACGAAATAATAATCGAGTTTATCCGGTATTGATTGTCGGTGTAGGGTGTATCGAGGCCTAGAGTGCTATCAAGGGACCAAGCGCTTTTTGGAAACTGCGGAGGAACGCCTGGGGTAATGTAAAGCGGGGTGCAGGGCCTTGAGTTTATGTGCACTACCAAGGTAAATCGCAGGTATCTAGCTTCAGTTCCATCTTGGAAGTTATCTACAGTCTCCCATGTATTCACAAACTTGTCTGTGATGACTTAAATCTTAGGCTCAACATCAAAAAAATACCACAGGTTACCTATCTCACGCGTCGTTGCCCGCCAAAAAAAAGCGGAACTCCAGCTCCAATTGGAGGGGGAATCAAGCATCGCAACACGGTCTAAATGGTCTGAAATATACCCCTGTAAATTAAAATAGACCTGACCCGGATCGGACCAGACTATTCATAAGCTAACACCCCATGACTTTACCTACTAGAGTCCTGCTACCAGCCATCTACTCTACAATATACTCAACCACAGAGAGGGCGGTATGTATGTACCTAACCAAAGCACCCATGAGAGAACAGCAAAATTCCCCGGTTTAAGCTAAGTCTTGGGCTGAGCTACTGCAGAGGATGGGATGACAGTGCCGCTACATACACCCGTAATCTCGGGCCCCCCGAATACATAAGACTTTACAAAGTCAGGCATTAGTTTATTGATACAAGTCGTCGGGCAACCGGATGTGCTGCTATTTAGTTTTATTAAGTCCTAGTATAGCTTACCCCTCGAACTCAAACAGTTGTTTGCAAAGTATAGAAAAAAGATATACCAGTATAATTATATAATCCGATCCAGGCCCGAAATTTCTAATGTTTTTGAAACCTCAACTTGGGGGCAAAAACTTTATTAAATGAGATCTGGATCGAAGCTTGCATTAATGGGAATATGGTAAAACTCAAGGAAAAATCCACGCACAGGCTCGGGGGGCCTTGACCCGAACTTGCAAAGTTGCTATCAATACAAGGCCTTTTCTACAGCCGTTGCCAATGCGCCACGGCCGTCTCAGACGCCAATCATAGAGCTTTTCGGATATTCGTGCCCCAGATTCCAAGAAGGTAGACCAGGTATGTATGCACCCCACCTGGGGTCCCCGGTTGCATACAGTTCGTGGTCCTTGGGCCCCTACACAAACCCAATCACACATCACGACTCGCAAAATTTTTACCACCCAAAAGATTCGCTAAGAGAATATTTAGCCGAGTAATCTCAAAATTTTCCTCATCGGTATTAGGATTTAGCCACTTTTTCTGGGGTATCGGGGGCAAAAGTTGGGGTTCCGGTTGACGCACGAGTAAACCGACTGATAATGTGAACTTTAAGAAGCGGCTCTCCCCACAATATCATACATCGAAGTCTCCACCCAAAGGCAAAAGCTGTATAGTCCTTGAGCCTTAAAGATATCGGGGAAGTAGACGCAGAACATTTTGCCCCAGGAAATCATTCACCATGGGAAAGCTTTTCACATTCAACATCGCGTTCTTCGCGTGTTTGGGGGTATGTTTTACAAACCTCCCCAAACATTGATCATATACAGGAGTTTTGAAATTTCTAACAATGGATTTTTTTTCTACAATTAGAGTTTCTTGTTTGGATATGACAGCGGTGTTATGACCGATGTCATCGCATCTAAGCACTTTTTGGGCTACTTTGACACAACAAGTGATTCTCCAATTTTGGGAGCTATAGTATCGACCTTTGCAGGTGGTGCTGTATTTGGTGCCTTATCTGGAGGATATACCATGGACAGACTTGGTCGAAGAGTGTTAGTAAACACAATCCAGCCCAGAGTTATGCCCATAGTACTTGACCATTGACAAAGTTTCTAGGAGTATCCAAATAGGAGCTGTTGTATGTGTTGTTGGAGCAATTCTTCAAGCGGCCTCAACACATCTGGCCATGATGCTTGTCGGCCGTATCATTACGGGGTGGGCAGTTGGAATTATGAGCAGCGCTGTCCCTGTATACTGTGCCGAGCTTGCTCATCGTTAGTTCACCCGTCTACGTAACCTTCTTTTTCCCCAGGATCTAACATATGTAAAGCCAAGAGGCGTGGTTTCTTGGTCGGGTTATCCCAGCAGATGATTGGGCTTGGTTTCATTGTTTCTACATGGTAAGAGAGATCCCCCCTAATTTCACCACTCATAAAGAAAAGGGAAAATATAACATCTTCTTTAGGGTGGGATACGGTTCCGCACACGCCTCAGACAGCAGTAGTTTTCAGTGGAGATTCCCCCTTGCGTTCCAAGGAGTCCCTGCTGGAATTCTCGCGCTCGGTCTCATCTGGTTCCCAGAGTCTCCTCGCCAGCTTATCGAAAAGGATAATGAAGAGGAAGCTCTTAGAATTTTGAAAAAGCTGCATGCCAATGGCCGTAATGATGAATGGATTATGTCTGAGTTCAATGAAATCAGACAGACGATTCTTGCTGAAAAGACACTGGTTGTAAGGAGTTGGAGTGTTATGTTTACGGTCCCGCAATGGAGGAATCGTCTCATGCACGGAGTTATGGTACAGGTCTTTACACAACTCACCGGTATTAGTGAGTATTCCCGAATGGAACTTCTTGATTGTGTTTTGTTGTAGCAGTTGCTTATATACGCTCGCAGATGTCATCAACTACTACCAGACACAGATGTATGAAGCGCTGGGAATAACTGGAAAAAAGGCCCTTCTCGTCTCTGGTTTATACAACATTGTCGGTCCTGTTACCAGTGAGTTGCCCGAATAAGGGAAAAGCCAAGATGCAGACCAAGTACTAATCATACTGTAGACGCATTCTTTATTTTCTTCCTCATTGATCGTGTCGGCCGTCGTAAGCCGCTACTCTTTGGAACAATCGGTATCAGTCTCTGCTTAATTGTCGAAGCTATCCTAAACTCCAAGAACCCTGATGGGGAAAATGAATCACTTTCACGGGCTGGTGTGGCTATGATATTTTTGGTATCAATGGTTTTTTCTGTTAGTTTTGGACCGATATCATGGACTTATATGTCGGAAGTCATGGTAAGCAAATCCCTGGAGCCACAATATGGCATCAATCCATGAAACTAACAACCACGACAGCCCATGCAAATTCGTGGAAACGGAAACGCTTTTGCAGCTGGTATCGGAAACTGGCTCGTCAACGTTCTGTTCTCACAGGTTTCGCCGCAAGCACTGGCAAAACTCAAATGGAAATATTACTTTGTTTTTGTGGCCTTCAGTAAGTCCCGCTCTTTCTCTACCTTACATCACTGGTGTGATTATACATACTAATTGCATCCACCCTTAGATTTCGTTGTCACCCTTCCCACTGTATTCTTTGTCTTCAAGGAGACAAAGGGTGTCTCATTGGAGGAGATTGATCTGCTATTCGGGGAACGTGCCCTGGGGTCCCTGCCAAATGATATTGAGAAGGAACAAAATGTTCATATAGAACATGATGGGAAGCGTGATACCACAGCCTAATGTTTGTTGTTTTAAGGACCTTTCTTGTAATTAGTATGCGTCTATGGGACCATGAAATATATGCCAATTTCTGAGATAATTGAATATCAAACATGGGTTTTGATACAAGCTTGAACTTGACAGATATGAACTTGTCAATTTTGCTATTTTGCAGCAATAGGGACACATACTACGGATACCCGTAAAAACGGTTATCGAGTGACTTGAGAGCTTCGTGTGCTCCCTTTGCTAGCCACCAACTATGAAATCATCCTCTTTCAATCTTTTACTCTGTTTTGTTCGAATAAACACCAAACCCTAGAGAATACATATATCCATATATACGTTCTGTACGAACTCTTAGCCTTACACATCCACACCGACGAGCATGAATTTTGAAAAGGAAGAAGGAAGGCAACCTGATGAGCCGAATTGCATTCTGTGCCAGTTGAATGGCGAGCCGCGAGTGCGTACACGTATTTTCCACCTCTAGCCTTTGATAAAAAAACGTAGATTCGACGTTAAAGTTGGTTGCTGGACTAAATCGCTCTAGCGAGGAGCATAATAGTAAGATTCTCCGTCCTTGGTAAGTGTAACCGATCTCTTGGCCCGACGACCGACGGCGCGGCTTAATTAACTATTGAAGTTAATAATTTTACTTTGAAGCCCCTTTGTGCTTCTTTATAAAAATACGCATACAGACTGTCTTTTGGCGCTTCGTGAAGAGTCTTTCAGCGCTGACTCGCCTTTCAACGTCGGATCTGGTAGTTGAAAAGAGGACCTTGGCTAGATATGGACAAGCTATGTATGTATGTACCTATATGAAGGGTCAGTATTGGACGTGGGGGTTCCTGGCTATTGCTCAGATAGCTGAGGTATAGGGCTGAGTAAACATCTCATGAGATTGCGTGTGCTTTTAGACGCCCAAGTCGTTCCCGTACCGTACGGTAACCGAATTATGTATGTACCGCTCAGGGGGGTATAAACGCGGTGGACAGGCATCATGAAACAGTCTTTGTTGACTGACAACACTTAGACTTTTCATACAGAGAGAATATGGACCTCCTCTCATCCATCACTGAGCAATGGTTTTCCACGACGTTGCTGAGGAGAGGGAGGGAGATAGAGCTCTCAAACGTGAATTAAGTTTGGGGAGTTAGGTATGAACCTACGTGTCGCTGCAATCCATCCGCCAAGAGCGGTCAGTGGACGATTCACCTCGTCAAGTGCCTACCTACTGTTTGACGATAGGCAGTCTTGCTGTCGAATCGGAGGCACCCATCCTTAGCGAGAAATGATAAAGGTCCCACTTTTCTGCAGAGTGGCGCATGTCGAATGAGGTAGTGATGCAGGACCAAGCTCAAGTGGAAAGGTTCGCATCGAATCATGCATGGGTATACCGTTGCGCAAGCTCAGAGCCTCAGGGGCATGGCAGTTGACGCCCCTTATCCGTTTCGATGTGCACAAAACGGGGACGATAGAGTTTCGACGCAGGTGTAGTTTTCACCAAAACCTAATTCCAATGGCTCCAAGAGATCTAGAGAAGCGAGAGTGCAAATCCAGAGATCTGGGCAGGGGCTGTTAATGGCGGCGCATATTCAAGCTGTGCTGAGGACCAACAAACTGATTAAACTTGACTGCGTCTTCGCCGGAGATAACTTTCTTTGCTGCCAGGAACAGAGACGGAAAGGGTAGATTGCAAGCTGCAGATCATTCAATGTTTCAGACATACCCCAAGCCCCCTGCCCCTCGCCAAAATTTAAAAATAGTGAATCACCGCGTCTATACTGAGCTACCATAGAAAGAGTGAGTCGAAAGCAAAGAAAAACATCAAAGACTATTTCATCCACCCACCCCCCCAATCTCTTCCTCTCTTTCTTTCTTTCAGGTAGACAACTCTTTCATCACCACACTCTCTTAGTGAAATTGTTCATTCTTTATTTTCTGTTCACTGTATAAAACATACTCTCACTCTCTGAAATCGTAGGTGTTTCATTCCCTCAACATTTTTACCATTTACCCCTTACCTCCATCTAACACAGGCACCCCCACTGCAGATACATTAAACTTAAAACACCCACTGTCATGGTATCTTTCACCAGCCCCGGTGCTAGTCATCGGCAGAATCTGGTCAAGTTTGGCTTTTCTGTAAGTACAAATTTGAACCACGTGCAAGCTTTATGCACGCGCCTCTGGATCATTCTTGGCCGATGTAGCTTATTCTAACCTCATCTTGTAGATTCTTGCCCTGGCGGCCACTCTTCAGGCGGTCTCTGCTGCATCTATTCACAATTTGCATCGCCATAGAGATCTTCACGTCGAAGTGGACGCAGAAAACACCACTCTTGGTGTCGACGCAGAAGGCACTTTTGGAGTCGACGCAGAAGTCGACGTTAATGATAATACTCCTTCGTCTTACTGGCTTGAGACTATCGAGAAGAGGGGTGTCGCCACTTTCAACAATGCTTCATCCACATACAAAGTCTTCAGGAACGTCCGTGACTATGGTGCCAAAGGTATATATATACTCCTCTCACCCTCCTCCCATTTCCCCAAATCAGCTGCTAATCAAAAATAAACAGGTGATGGAGTAACTGATGACACAAATGCTATCAACGCTGCCATCCAGGAAGGTGCCCGCTGCATGGGCGGAACCTGCGACTCCTCAACTGTCACTCCCGCTGTAGTTTACTTCCCACCTGGAACATACTCCATTTCTAGCCCTATCATTGCAGTCTACTATTCCCAACTCATTGGTGACCCAACCAACCGTCCCACCATCAAGGGTACTGCCAACTTCACTGGTCTCGCCCTCGTTGATGCTGATCCGTATATTCCTGAGGGCTACGGTGCCCAGTGGTACACCAACCAGAACAACTTCTTCCGCATCGTCCGTAACTTTATCCTCGATACTACTGGTATGACATCCGTCGAGGTGCCTACCGGTATCCATTGGCAGGTTGCGCAGGCAACCACTCTGCAGAACATCCACTTTGAAGGTTCTCAGAACGAGACCAGGAAGGACCGTGGTATCTTCATGGAGAATGGGTCTGGCGGGTTTATGAGCGATCTCTCCTTCAACGGTGGTAACGAGTGTGCGTTCATGGGAAACCAACAGTTCATGACCCGTAACTTCACCTTTACCAACTGCAAGACTGCAATCATGATGGCCTGGAACTGGCAATGGACCTTCAAGTCCGTCAACATCCAGGACTGCGGTGTTGGTATCGATATCTCGTCTGTGGATGCAAAAACCGGATCGGCAACTCTTGGCTCGATGATTGTTCTTGACTCGTCTATCTCCAACACCCCAATCGGTATCCGCACAAACAAGACCTCGATATCCACCCTAGATGCTGCGGGCACGGTCATTCTCGATAACGTCCAGCTCACCAATGTCCCCAAGGCTGTTTTCAACATCGGTAACAATGCTACCATTCTTTCCGGAGAAGGCGATAATACCATCGACTTCTGGGGCCAGGGCAGAGACTACTCTGGTGGAAACGGCACTGTTACTTCGGTCCAGGGAGTTCTTACCCGTAACGTTGAAAAGCCTGCAACGCTTCTTATCTCTGGCTCAGAGACCATCTTCGAGCGCACAAGACCCCAGTACGAGGATGAGGATGTTTCAAACTTTGTCTCCGTCAAGGGACTTGGTGCCAAGGGTGATGGTGTGACTGATGATACCGAAGTCCTCAGGGCTGCTTTCAAGGACAACGCGGACTCAGGGAAGATCATCTACTTTGACCACGGAGTGTACATTGTCTCTGACACTGTCTTCGTTCCCACTGGAACTCGTGTCGTTGGTGAGGCTTGGTCTGTCATTATGGCCAATGGTGCTGCTTTCAAAGACGTCAACAACCCCATCCCTGTCTTTCAAGTTGGAAACCCTGGCGATGTCGGTACAGTTGAGATGTCTGATCTCCTCTTCCAGACCAAGGGTCCTCAAGTTGGTGCAGTGCTCCTTGAGTGGAACTCCGCCGACCCAGAAGGCGAACAAGGTGTCAACGCCATGTGGGACGTCCATTTCCGTGTTGGTGGCTCCGCTGGTACCGACTTGAACAACGCTGAATGTCTGGCAAACGAGCTTGGTGCTGGAACTGGAAACGGTACCGCCCGTATCACCACACCAAACACAAGCTGCTTTGCCGCTTTCATGCTGATGCACATTGGAAAGACTGCTAGTGTCTACATGGAGAACGTCTGGGCGTGGACCAGTGATCATGCTCTCGATGCCCCATTCAACCGTGTCACCCTCTACAACGCCCGTGGTATCTATGCCGAGAGCGAGGTTGGCCCAGTCTGGATGTACGGTGTCGCATCAGAGCACAATGTCCTCTACCAGTACCAGTTCCAGAACACCAGCAACGTCTTCATGGCTGTCGGCCAGACCGAGACTCCCTACTATCAGTCCAATCCTGTCGCCACTGGTATCTTCCCCGTCGACAATGAGTTCAACGACCCTACCTACGAGACCTGCACCACTGCCTCCTGCCGCAAGTCATGGGGTCTCAGAATCCTTGAGTCCTCGGACATGCTCGTGTACGGCGCGGGACTCTACTCCTTCTTTGAGGACTACAGCACAAACTGTAGCAGCAGGGCTGGGGGCTCAAACTGCCAGGAGAACATGTTGGAGATCCAGGGCAGCAGCTCCATCAGTTTGATGAACATCAACACCATTGGTGTCGTCAACATGGTCACGCTGGATGGAAAGCCGGCTGTTCAGGCGTCAGATAACAGGAACTCCATGGCGGATACCTTTATCAGGTTCGATGTGGTTTAATTGGGATAGCTAGGGTTTAAAATGTACGAAGTCATAGTCACGCTCTTTTTTCTTCTTTTCTATGTTTTTAGGCTTTTTGTTCCGGCGCGGCTTTTTGAGTTTTTTTCTTTTCTTTTTGTGATGGCAGCGAGTATATACATACCCTGTATTATAGATTTAATCATTGATGCTGCTGGTTTTTAAAATGTTGTGTTGGATTCTCTGCGATCTCGAGGTTGTTTTACCTACCGAGTTACTGTAGAAAAAAAACAACTCGCCATAACTTATGTTGCTGAACATGGCGTGATATTCTGTGATTCGTGAGTCCTTACTTTATTCAGAACAATGGCTCTTGGCATCTTTGCTTCTTATCCCTCCTTGATACACTGATGATACAAGGTGGAGTGACACAAATTTACGTACTGCAAGATGAATTCGTTGCATGATTCTGCACGTTTGATTACAGCGGGTGTAGTTATATGGCGCAGGAGGCACGTATTTGGAATTGTAATTTCATATAAGAATTGCTCTATTAAACTTTCTTTTTCGGGTTTTGTTGTGGTGGCGGAGATGGAGAGGGCTATGCATGGTTGGGTGGGGTGCTTGGCTAGATATTCTTAATAGGAAACCTACATAGTACTTAAAGTACATGCAATAGAAAAATGAAGACATAGAGTAGAGCGAGTGATAATTTGTGACTAACTCAGCTGTTGCATCATTTCTATGTAAATGTATGCGTGTAATTAAATGAAAAAATAAATTGCATTCCCGTCATCCACTCACCCTTTTACGCGCAAGGAAGCGGGAAATGGAGAAATGGAAATTGACAGGAAGAGGAAATGAAATGGTACGAGGACGTGATGTTTCGCACGCAAATCCCCTAAACATATGTTAGAGGTTTTAACTAACTCAATCGTCCTCCTTAGATTTTGGGGGTGCAGAGCTCTTAAAGGAGTGCGGATTTGTGGAATCTCTTCGTGAAGAAGATCCGGTTTGGGAAAAATTACAAAAATAATCCAGGGATGAAATGTTGATTACGTATATAAAGAAATCTCAGAATATTAGTAGCAACGGGTTCTGCAATGCCACTTTTTTGTCTAAAAGCAGCGAATTATATATACTCTGACGAATTTCTCGTTTTCTCCCCTACCTATTTCAAAGGAAAGCGCATGGCTGCCTCAGTTAATATCAACCCTATCCACCCAACAAACTCGACCGCTTAACCTTCGTTAGTCCCCGCATCATGAAAAATGACTCGACAACCCCCACCCCTCAACCCCGACCGTACCCTACGAATCCACCTATTATCTTGAGACAACTAAAAAAACAGGGCCTTCCGAGCACCTATTTCATCAACCCGGATCTCGCCAATTTTAACAGCCCAGGCTATCCTCTACTCCAAGCTTCCTTGAAACAGGCCAATGCCGCCACGTACCTTATCTCTACCTCTACCTCCAGGTCCAGGCTCTAAATACTAGATTTTCCCTGCATAGTCACGCCTCCAGGTTCTTGAGTTACGGGGAATATACGAGCAAAGGCTAAAATAGACGACGGACAGCGGTGCTCCCTGTTCGGGGTACAGGAATTGCATATTGGCCTGATTCGCGGAGATGCGGAGAGATGAGATGAGATGAGATGTGGAGCGTGGAGGGGTTCCTGTTGGCTCGGTTACGGCTTTAGTCGTGGCTGGTGGTTGGTGGTTCCTGGTTGGGGGTCCATCAGGCAAACGAGTGGATGGAAGGGCCGAGTGAGAGGCTGTGTTTCTAAGCGGGCCAATTGCGGCGCGGATGGGTTCTGTGCTTCTACTGCTGGATGAGCCAATAGGAATTCCTTTGCGTCTTTTTGTGGTGCTGCGTCTAGCTCGTGTGTACGCTTCGCTCTGGGGGTTACGCCGTCTATTGGTGTCCTTAGCTTACTGTTTCGTCTGTTGGGTTTTGGTTCCAGCTGTGCTCCGCGAGTCTGGTGGGGTATGGTTAGTGATGTGACAACATTACGTCTTCGATCTTCAACATGAGCGCCGTGTGCGGGGAGTGAAGGAGTACCAGGGATGGTGAGTAGGTGTGGGAGATCTCGGGGGGATCGATACTCAAGCCTTGCAGACTGGTTCGTATATGTTTTGTGAGCAGTACGGAGCATCGACAAAGATCGCTGTACGACAAATGCGGCTGCGGCTAGCTGTGGTTGGTAGAGAGAATCAACTGTGGTTGGTGTATATACGAACACGAGTTGAGTGGGCGGAAGACCCCGAGTGAGAACTCGTGTTTCTAGCCGCGGGGAAACACGTACCAACCTATTACCCTATTCCCGCTGGACAAGGAGGACGCTTGGAATAAGGACTGCTAGGAGCTGGAGCCTTCGAAATAGATCTGTTCCTACTAGATCCATAGAGCATCCGTTGCTGTCTAGCCGCATCTTGATACATGATTTGTGAGTGACAAATCATGATTCTTGGCTTTCATGCCACACCTGAACGAAAGAGGGGTCAGAACCACCCACACTCACTGAATCCCTTATTTTCAGCTGATACACTGCAGGTGACTGATTCCTATCCTTTCGGATTTGGGCAAATATTTCCATATCCAACCAACATCACATCCTACAAACTAACAACTACCCATGGAAGAACCACTAATATTAACCAGTGCACTGGCAGCAGCTCAAAATGACTCCAGACTAATGTACGAACTCAAAATATGCCATTTGAGATGATGCCGACTGATATCCGAGGTGAAAAAGCGGCGTCCCGAACGCTCGGATCAACGACAATATAGAAAACATCAAGAAGTTCCTCCAGCGTAGAATAGCTGCATCTGTCGAAGAAAGACAGTTTCTGCGCGGCGAGTCCTCCGACGAGTTGAGAAGCCAAATTGTTAGAGGTATTGTTGAGGGATCCCAGGGAGTGTATGACGTTTCGTATTCCATCAAGTGCACCCTGAATACTGGAGGCTGATGTTTGTAACTAGTCACACTTCTGATAGGCTTTGGTGGGCCCAGTTTCAGATGGGGCAAATACTTTCCCTGGGCGCTGAAAGTGATGTGAAGAAGAGTCTAGGAAGGCTTCCACAGAGTCTAGAGGATTTATATGAAGATGCGTATGAGCGGATACAAACGGAGCCAGGCCAAGGGCCTGGGATTGCACTAAAAACGTTGATGTGGGTGATGTGTGCGTTCGAGCCATGCTCACCCGACGAATTGGCGAAATTTGTCTTTCTGAACTTTCCTCAAGAGGAAAGGTTGACGGGGAACGTTTTGCTCAAGTTATGCCATAACCTCCTTACCATAGACCAGCAGTCGGACGTCGTGAAGATCGCGCATCCATCAATACGAGATTTCCTTGAAAATAAATATGCCCCCATGGTCGATTCACACATTCTAGTTGCTAAGACTTGCCTTGCCTTCCTGAGTGGCCCAAACACCCTGAGGAAGATTGACTTGGACGATTATGCCAGCAAGTATCCAGTTATGTTCTGGCCGATGCATGTCCAGGCGTGCCTGGATCAGCAGAAAGACGCAGAGTTATCAGAGCAGCTGATAATGTTCTTGAATACACATTCTAAAGATTGGTACAAAGCATATGCGGATTTGTTCGATACTTATCGAATACCCAATTCGGAGCGCACCTTCGAGTACCGCATGCCCGAGCCCGGAAAGTTTCATGAGTTTGAAAGGGGCCTGGAAAAGATATTAATAGACTCCCTTGAAGAGCTCAAGTTCGACGAACTGACTCCATGGCATATCGCTGCTGTGTATGAATTTGGAGAGCAGCTGGAAGCACTATGGGTCCTGGAGCCACCAAACATCAATGCCGTAAACAAGCATGGGCATACAATGCTCTTCATTGCAAGCAGCAACGGATCATCCTGGATTGTCGAACGTCTTTTGAAGAAAGGTGCAGACCCCAACGTATCATGCGCTGGGATGATGGCCCTCGACTCTACAGCCTTCCACGGGCGATATGAGATAGTGCAACTTTTGCTGGACTACGGCGGCGACGCGAAGGGAGAAAGATGGGAGGTTAGAAGCGCGCTTTGTTGGGCGGCTGTAAAGGATTTCCACATGATAGTGCAATTGCTTCTAGAGAATGGAGCTAATCCCAATATCAGATGCACATACAAGAAGTGGAGTGCCCTGTATGCTGCTTCAAGTCTTGGACGTTGTGAGGTGGTAAAGCTGCTATTGGAGAACGGAGGGGATGCTGGTGCTGAGGGTGGTGATGAGGGGAGTGCTCTTGGTGTTGCGGTGAGAAATGGGTGGCTGGACGTGGTTAAACTTTTGCGGGAACACATGACGTTACAAGATCCTGCGGGTACATGTAGCTAGACGTAGGAACATAGGTGACCGTTGGGACTACTTAATGTACATGTAGTGCCGAGTTGTCCTAGAGCCAGTGGTGGGCATAATAGAGGGACTGCATGTGCATTATATATACACGCAATATTTCATTTCATCTTTTTTTTTATATATTCAACGACGGATTTTTATCTCGGCATGACAACCGCATGCCCGCCGCCGGGCATAGGTGTACTCCGCTAGGCGCCTTAGGCTAGTTGGCATCAAGGAGCGCACCCGCCACCTATGCCCGTCGGGCTTGGATATAATAGTCGTAAGACTACCCTCTGTCACACTGATAAACTCAAGAGCATCAACAGAGTCAGAATCATTTATATAAATAACATCTAGGGGTTGATGCTGAACTTCATTCAACTAAGGCACCTTTTCCCCTTTAGAATGAACTTCAAATAATCACCCTCGATCGCCCCTGCACAATTCATACCACCAAACAGAGTTAAACACAATCTCTAGGCTCAATATACCTGATGTCGATACGAGACGATGTTCCATGTCTGATCGCCTTACACCCAACCAGGCTCCCTAGACGAGAGAACCCCTGCAACGTACTAGCTCTTAAAAATCGTGTAACAATCACCATCGAAAGACATCGACGTCGACACCCCCTGCACTGACAAGAAATCTAGATTCGACGACTCCACTCCTCGTCCCTGGATGCTGCAGGTACCGCTAAACATAGATACCGACATATTCCAGGCAACAGCAACTAGCAGCACTAGGTAGGCGAGATCGAGTGAGAATCCGTGACTCTGTGAATTCCCTAATCCTAGAGATAGAAAACTAATCCGCTGACGTGACCTTTAGGAGATAGAAAGCGAACTTACAAGTAACTGCAACACGGGTTCTAGATCTTTTCTATTGCTGCTTGTTTACTCATCTAACTGACCCCCTCCGATCCCTTGCCCTGCTACCGCCTAACCTTGGCACGTCGGAGAAAACCCCGCACACTCACTCTTCGGTCACCCTTCTAGACCCAAGTTAAGCTTTACACAATAAATAAGTTTCAGCCGCGCCTTCTTGACGTCTCTATCTCTCGTATTTATTTTTTTCGGCCGTTAGTTCGAGGTCTAGGGTTTCTGGCTGGACATCCTCTCTTCTCCTGGTTACCAGGCTTGACGTGACGCCGTATGCGCGCATTAGCTACGGTGCCAGGTACCGGGGAGGAGGTGTGTAAGCTGGGTAGGTGCTGGTGCTCCTGCGTTGTTGTGGTTCTGGTATCTACTTGCGGGACTAACGGTGGGTGGGTGGTTGAAGTTCCATCTACCGACGCACAGGGAGTTCTGGAATTCGAAGCTTGGAGCCGGTTCTTGCTAGGTTGCAATTGCGAATTCGATTTCGCACTGCTTACCGTAGACTGTTTTGTGATTCGAAGGCCCCCGTCCCAAGAGGAGGGAAGAAAGAAGCTTGGCATATATATAGGCTACTATCGAGTGAGAAGCTGTGTTCCTACATGTGGGGCAACGAGCATACTTGATACAATCAAACTTCAATCGTCCACCATGAAATGGCCCGCCGCGCACCATCCGCCTCCTCCGCCCTGGCCGAAGATACTATTACTACAGTTTAACGGGGTGTAACTTGATTTATCCGTATATGCTATCATACGTCTAGCCGGCCTCCTCCCAGTTCCACGACATACAATATATACGTATGGATGGACCGCTCGATGCCGTGTGCGCACGCATCGCTTTCACGAGTGTATGGATCGGGCAGGTATTGAAGACAGCTCAGTTGCTGTGCCGCGGTATATTTCAAGCTGTGTGTAGGGTCCGCGGGCTTCGTTGATCCGGGTCCCCTTGGCTATCGATAGGGAGAGTGATATTCTATGACCGCAGCTTAATATGAGTCGGCCGGGCAGAAAGACGAGCGTCCTATTAAGGTCTTTTTATGGAGCGAGGGTTGCTACTGTGATCCAAGGAGAAGTTTCTATCGATAAAGGAGTCGGTCAGTTGGAGGAGCGGGTACGTACGTGGTCCTCGAGTATTAAGACGATACTTGTCTTTATTGTGGATTGGTTAACTGGGCTCCGTCCGTTGCGGTGAATCGCGTTTTATCAGTTTATAATTCTCAACGTAGAGTCTAGAGCCGCTAGACAGCACCTGCGATATCGTGTAGAAAAACCTATTTCCAACCCGCCAAATACATTCCCCCCCCCTTCCTCGCACCATCATGTCTATATCAAGTACACACACATGCAGATTAATTAACCCACATCAATCAACCACTATATATATAGATATATTACCACCAGTCCTTCATCTGTACAACATTGGTTTAGTAATTACCCCAGATCCACAGATTTGCAGAATTCGCAATTGTAAACGTACCCCCCTCTCCCCGTACCAGATCTTTGTTTACTCGCATTGATATTATTATATTATTAGGTCGTTACTCTACTCTGTATACTCTATAGATCAGAACCTTGCTGTGCTACTCTATGTATATGCATGTGCAGGGAGGTGGGGGTGACATTCATTCTGCGGCGAGATTTAGAGGGCGTGACAGCGCAGTCAATAATCGAAACGAGTAGAAATAATACTCTCCCGGTACCCGCATGAGTATTTCATGCCCGTAGGTACGTCTGCGTGTCGACAATATAAATCTATCTGGCCGCGGCGCGAGAATGTTTCTTGTATAGTAATCACGGCGACTGAGTGATAATTCAGCGGAGAGCGAGAGGTTAAAACAACCGGGGTAGCTGTGAGCGAGTGAGTGGTGGGGTTAAAGTTCTCACAAGCTGGTGAGATTAGAGTTCTCACCAGCTGGCCATGGTGGGATTAGAGTTCTCACAGGCTCGGTAAGGAGACTGGGGATAAAGGAAGCTGTGGCTGTGGCTGTTAAGGAACCCGAAGCTAAGACTCGCCTTCTTTGCTTCCACGTAACAAAGAAACCTCCGGCCGCTGCCTGCCAAAGAAAAGAAGGTTGTGAAGCTAAACGTTAAACCTAATCCACCCACCCGTCTCTACACGTGCCCCTTCCCTCTCCTCCTCTCCCTTTCTCACCGCGACTCCCTCGATACCCCTGGCCGGACGCGCAAACACACACCCACACACACCCATACAGACAGATACACAAACAAACAAACCCGACGGCGCCGCAAACAGCCGTAATTACATTTACAGATTTGATTTTTATTTTTTTTATTTTTTTTCGGACGGGAAATTTTAACTCAATTTCATTCGAGTGAGTGAGTGAGGGTGAAGTGAGATATCACGTACATACATACGTATATATGGGGAGTTGGACAGAGGACAGATGGCTCATCTCGGCGGGGTGAGGTGGTTTGGTTTTGGAGGTTTTGGAGACTGCGACTTTCCGTTTTCTGACGGACGGACGGACGGACGGACGGGCGAGTGAGTGAGTGAGTGAGTAAGGATGTTTCGGGGTCTACTCTGCTATGGGTGTTTCTTGTCGGATGTGATGTGTCTCGGCGGCATAGAGACAGAGGAAGAAGAAGAAAGTTTTAAGCCTCTTCAGCCTCTTCCACTTCCTCATCTCATCTCTTACTTAACATTTATCCTTATCCCTTCTACTCTGGCCCACAATCTACAAAGGAAAAGGAAAAAGGGGAGAAAAGGTAATAAAAATAAAGCCCCTCCCGCCTTCACAGCGGTCAGCCTCTCCCGCCCTACCTGCTCTAGCTCGGTGCCAGCGGTCAGTAAAGTAGAGGCAACCCCCGAGCACAGTCAGTCGCCGCACGTGCATAGCTCCCATTTCATGCATATCCCGCCCAAAACGGCAAACTAGCGCGTTGACATCATCGGCCACTGGCAAGATCGTCAGGAACCGTCGCGTCTCGGCAGCAGCCGAGACTTTAGTTAGCAGCGAGAACTAAGGGAAGGAGACAGCCACACACGTAGGAGGGTCTTAATTTCCCGTGGCGTGCGCGCTTGCTTAGGGGGGGGGGGGGAACTAACCGGTGAGAGGAAAATGAGCGAGGTGAAGGGCGGACAGTAACTAGCGGAATCTACATGGTTTCAGCCCTCTACTCTTGTTCCTGTCTCGCCAGAGCCGCCCAGGTGGTTGTGGCGCGCGATTGGTTGGTGCGACCTTATCTTCAGGTACGGAACCGGAGAAGAAAAAAGTTTGGTTCAGATGGGCAGGGCAGGGCAGGGCACACGCAATTGAGGTGACTCAGGTTGCACCCTTCTCTGATCTCTCTCTCTCTGCCATCAGCCAGCAGATAAGGTGGGTGACTGGCTGTAACACCACCACCACCTCACTAGTAAGTAACCGCACAGCAGACCCTACACAACCCGGGAAATAAACAAACCAGGGGTGGTGCGCTAGGTAGACTTTGGGAGGAGGACGGGGGAGGAGATGAATTCAGGGACCACAGTACCGCAGTACCGCAGAGGAAGAAGTAACGGTGGGTTTCAAGAGACGTAGCTGACTGGCTAGCTAGCTGGGGGGGAAAAAAGGTTTAGATAATACTATTTGCGATGAAGGACCGCCTCCACCACCACCACCACCGACCGTTGCAATTGAATTGGAGAGAGAGCTCCTGCGGCGAAGGAATTCAATTCTTGGGGAATTGCCTGTGACTAGCTACATAGACGGTGGGATGTTGTTGTTGAGGGAGGGGGCCAAGGCAGATATGATTGTTGCGATAGGTGCGAGGAATGGGGAAAAGGAAATGAGCACAGTATCGGAAGATTTGAATCGGTGGGACCATGGCGCCTTTCCACACCCCCCCCCTCGCTCTCTCTCCCTCCCCGTGGATAAAGAAAAATAACGGCGCGCGATAAAAGATTAGGTAGGGGATCGAGGCGTTATGGCGTTATTATGGCAGAGCGCAGAACAGACATTGGACCGTTCTGCGTCGAAACGGCACTTTTGGATGATGAGAAGGACGACGACGATGCGCCCCTCTACACCACTACCCCCCCCCCCCCCACCAAGTAGGACAAGTAGGACGAGGATCATGATGGTGAAGGGAACAATGGGATAGGGTCCTCGAAGCAGGCACCAGGGTGGTGGGTGGACTGGCTTCCTCATTCAATTGTAGAGGTCTCGCGAGATTGAGACAGCAGCAACCAGCACCGTGGGCAATATATTAGAAAGCTAGTAGTAGCACTAGTAGGGAATATAATGCATGTACCTAGCACCTGGAGTTCCCATTTCTGGTATCTCTCACTGGCTACCAACTACCACGACCCCCAAATCTTAACCCCCTTCTGTCACGCTCCCCACCCCGGCATTCTACAACCTAGTGTCCGTTCCTGCATTCCTTCACTTCACGCACTCACGAGTGCATACATTAGTGACCTCTCTCCCTTTCTTCGTCTCTTCTTCTTCTTCTTCCCCTTCCCTCCTTCTTCATCCCCGCCGTCCCGTCTTTTCAGTTCACACACCACACTCTCTTTGTTCGGGGTAGCAAGCTAGCTAGTAGTAGTCGTTCCTTCCTTCCTTTCCGCTGTGCGTCTAGTTTAAACCTTATCACGCTCTCACATTCTTTTTTTTTTACCCTCCCTTCCCTTCCCCCCCTTCCCTTCCCACCCATCCCCCCCTTCTTTAATTTTTTCAACTCATTATCTCTCGCCATCAATTCAATCCATCATGTCGAAGATGTTGTTGAGCCAATTGACCGTCCTGTCTCTGCTTGCCCTGGAGGCAAGTGCATTTTGGCGCCTGCCGTGTAGGCAGAGCCTGACGGTGGAAAGGATCGACCCACTTACACACTTTGGAATGGTCTCGGAGCATGTCCACACTATCCATGGTGGTAATAGTAAGTAGTCCTTCATTTTCATATTCTATTTTGATATTTTTTTTTGTTTCTTTTTAGTTGTTTATATCCATCATCATCATCATCATCATTTGCTGCTGCTATTGTTGCTGCAGCATTTTGATTATCCGCTACTGCTACTGCTACTTTATCCATCATTATCTGTTACTACTCAACTTTTTTCTTTCTTTTTTTCCTTATCATAATTATCGGACAATCAACCACTACCAGTCAGTGTAGCATTGAACTGAGCTAACGCTGCGGCCACTGCTACCACAGAGTTCTCGCAGAGTGCAACTGAGGCCCTGCTGTTGGAGAGTACTTGCACGAGTTGCCAGGTCAAGCAGGATCTGTCTGCCTACTGGACACCACAGCTGTACTTTCAGGATGAGGCTGGCATGTTCAATAAGGTCAACCAGACGGGTGGCATGCTTGTGTAAGTTTTTTTTTTTTATCTTTTTTCTATCTTTTATTGCTGCTTTGACGATTTCTCTCTATTTGCAATATTTACCACTATTGTGGCGATTTCCAATATACTAACCAGCAATTCTTTAGATACTATCTCCCCCGTGGAGATGATGTCAAAGCATTCCCCGCTGGGTTTAGAATGATTGCGGGTGACCCCAAGCTCCGTAGCTTCCCCTACCCAGTCGTCGAGAAGTCCCTCTGGACCGCATCCGACCGCACCGAAGCCGCCCTCCGCCAGAAAGCCGTCGGTTTCAACTGCCTCAACTACGCCGAGCCCGCCAAAGCCGCTCTCGGCCTCCGCGAGATGCCCGCCAACATGGCAACCGACTGCACCGACGGTCTCCGCGCCGAAGTGTTCTTCCCATCGTGCTGGAACGGCAAGGACTCAGACAATCACCGTGACCATATGAGGTACCCTTCGCTCATGGATGACGGCACCTGCCCCGACGGCTACGAGACCAGGCTCGTCAGTCTGTTCTTCGAGACCATCTGGAACGTTGCGGCGTTTAATGGCCAGGCAGGCACGTTTGTGTTTTCGTCGGGCGACCCGCTGGGATACGGATACCACGGCGACTTTATGAATGCGTGGGACGTGCCCATCCTCCAGTCTGCCATCGACAAATGTACCTCTCTCACTGGTGAGATTGGGGAGTGCGATGTCTTTGATCTTTACACCGAGGACGAGATGCACCAATGCACCATCGAGCCGTCGATTAATGAGGATGTCGATGGCCCGCTTGCGGCGATCCCGGGATGCAATCAGGTCACTTATGGCCCTGAAGACGCCCCTGATGGTGGCTGCCCAACTGATGGCGAGAACGACTTGACCGACGACCCGACTAGCCCGCCTCCTACCGGCACTGCAACTGCAACTTCTACCAAGTCGACATCCAGCTCTACCGAAAGCTCGTACTCGTCCTCGACTTTGTCCGCGGTCTATGGCGGTATTCCAGATCTTGGTGCTGGTGAGGATGATGGCGAAGGATACTACTCCAACTCGCACAGCTATGGGTACGGATATGCACCAAGCAAGGCTGTCGATGCTGTTGACTCGAGTGTCACAGCTGAGTCTACGCCTGCGGCGGGTGATAACTACGTCGACCCGAATGTGGAGGTGGTTGTGGTCACGGTTACTACGTATACCACTGCGTCGCCGACTACGGTTACGGTCCATGTGCAGCCCACTAAGGCGGCATACCGCAAGAGGCACTTTCACGGCCGTCACGCTGGGCATGGGTTGTAGAAGACGCACGTTAGCGAGGCATATATAGATCGATATCTGTGTGTCTTGAGCTTGCTTCATATTCCGGGTTAGTGGGTGGGGGGGTTTCTGTCAAAAACGGTATATAGTCATATTAGCGACTTTATGAATTTTCTTGTTTTCTTTCTACTTTTTTTCTTCTAACCCTTTTTTACTTTCTACTTCTTCAATACTATTTTCGCTGCTTCTTACTGGGTGACTACTACTACTTATGGGCGGATCTGGTGTGTGCATGTGATGTGTGCTATCTACTTCTTTCCACCTTTCTTCTTCTTCTTCTTCTTCCTTTTTTATTCCTTTCAAAGTAGTATATTTTCCTCTTCTTCTTTCTTTCTTGTGGCTACATTTACTGTTGTGGTATGCTTTTCTTCCTTCTTCTTCTTGTCGTGGTGTGAACGTGGAGTTTGGTGCGCGGGGTTGGCAAAAACAGTAAAGAAAAAAAAAAAATTCTTTGTACGGGGCTAGCTTGTCTTGTTCACAGAAGCATAAACCAAATGAAATGGATGAATTATCACGAGATTAGTTTCGTGACCGACTACATGTAGTATAGATAGACTTACTAGCGCCTTGTTGAGACTCGGAATTCGCCTCGCGGCCGGGGGTGCTGTAATCTTAAATGGAGACCCTGAGCTAGCGGTGGGATGGGATGGGGTGGGTGCTATGGATGAAACGGGGACGGTGACAGGCTGGGGTTGGGGTTGGGTTGGGTGCTGGTGCAGGGCAGGGGTTGTGGTGGTGGTGGGTTAGGGGTTTGGATGGGGGGTTGGCTGGGTTGGTTGGGGGTGGGAGCTAGTTAGGCGCGAAGAGGGCGCGAAGATGGCGGCGGCGGCGGCGGCGGTGGTGGTGGTGGTGGTCATAGGATATGAGGCGAGGTGGCGAGGGAAGAGGTATTGGATAGTGGGCGGTAGAGGGAAGACGAGAGGAGAGGCGGTTATAGGGAGGAAGGCGAAGTGGTATATAGGAGGTGAAAGTGCGAGTGCGCGGCTGTGATGCATGTTATCTAATCCACCCCGGCCCCCACTCCCAATTAGCTCCACTAATACAACCAAACCCATGGGCCCAACCAATTGACCCAACCCAACCCAACTCACTCGGCTATACCAAGCTAGGCACTATCCACCTAGTCTGGTCGGACCGTTACGGGTATTACTGTACTACTAATTATTACTGACAAGCAGACCACCGAAATTGACCCTTGATTGGGAAGGATATGGCCGCGGTCGGGATCTACGCCGCAGTCTTTTCGTTAGTAAGTATGTATGGAGTAGAGTTGTTCTATGCTCATTGATTGATTGTATGCAGGGACTGTCCCGATCCTGGGTACGGTCCGTTCTGTGGGAGAGGGCAAGTATTGACGTGCGGCGGGAAGAGGTGGGGAGGGGGGAGGGGGGAGGGGGGAGGGGGATTGGCGAGTGCGGGCTGGTGATCGATGTATACTATGTAAGGAGAGGGGGGGGGGGTTACAGGTACCGCCGTGATCGGCGGTGTTACGCCCTCCGGACGCAGAGAAGAAGGGGGTTGATATCGATCTGGGAAGGCTGGGGTCTGGATCTGAATCAATGTTGAGATGAGATGGGTATATGGTGTATGCAGGCACGTTGGACGAGCGGGTGTGCCGATCAGACAGATGGCTAGGGGGGTTTCGAAACATGTGGCAGGTAATTGGCGAGAGCCTTGAGTCGACGAGAGATCGAGGTGTGTAGACTCGAAGAATTGTTGTCCTCGCCTTTTTTTTTTTTTTTTTTTTTTTTTTTTTTTTGCACGGCTCGAGTTGGGCTGCCGTCGATCACGGAATATCACTCTGGTAAGTAACACGTGTAGGGGCATGGTTTCTCACTCGACACTCCGCGCTGCGACCACAACCGCAATTGTTATCGATCCATTAACTGTGCGCAGGACCGCGGCTACAATGATTGATTGTAATTGATTGATTGATAATTCTTTGATTGTTTGCAACGACCGCAATAATTGATTAACTGTTTGCAGCCCGGCCGGAGACTATGACAATTGCAATACATATATTATAATGAGCTTTAGCTGCGCCGGTGAAACAGAAACCCGGACAGGTTGGATAGAAAGTGTAGCAGACTTGGCTTAGAAATAAGCGGTACAGCTAGTGCTTTCTGTACAAGTGCCCGACTTTCAGCCCAACTAGCGCAGCTGAGACTCGACTCTCTAACATGCAGTAAATTCAAATATAGTAGCAGTTAAGTAGGATAGTATACAGCAGCATCAACGACAAAACAATTAACCAAACACGAAGCCGGGGGATTTGTTACACAAGGACATCAAAAAAACCAACCCAACCGGCCCTCCACCATCAACTACACTACACCCGTTGGACCCGGCGTCAAATATGAAACTGGCGACGGCATATATAATTACGGCGCGGGGGGTTGGGGAGGCACCGGACATTAGCAATTGTATGTGCACCATTGCATCCCCACCCGCACGCCTTTTTGGTTCTTCCGCACTGAGAGGTGTGTTGGGGGGGGGGGGGGCAGCCGGGTCTTTGGCGGTATAGGTTGTGCATTGCACGCAGCCGGAGCAGTCGTGCATGGTAAAACCGTCTGCCAGCATCTCCCCCGTTCGAATTGCTGCTAGCTTGACGTCCCCATGGCTACTCGCTCTCTGATGCCGTAATACCGTATTCCGATGTGTTTGGGTGAAGGCTTCACCTCTCCGTCGCCAATAGCCAATATACAGGCTTCGTTGTCGCGGTAGATGCGGTGCATGCGTGGTAGTGGGTAGCAGGAGCAGTCTGGTGTCAATAGTGAGATCGTGGGGTAATGGTAATGGTAGAGATGGTATGATGATATATAGTGATATCGTGGTGGGAATGGTAATGGTAGAGATATTGGTGGTGTGTAATGGTAATGATAGTGAGAATAGGTATGTGATTTGGTTTTGTTTGGTTTGTGGGAGCTTAAGTAGCTGTTAAGGTTGGTCGATAGGTGAGGCGGGACGAGGGCCTTTATAGTAAAAACCAATTCGTCAACCGTAACCCTCTATATCTCTTCACCACCCTCTATACTGGTTCCAACTCCCTACTACCTTTTCACAGCAATGGCGGGGTAGCCTACTACCCCTCCATCGCCGTACCCCGCTATCGTACCCATCTATCCTAAGAGTCAGGCAGTACTAGCAGCAGAGATTTTAAGCAAACATACGGGACGGGTCAATTGATCAAAGCTGCAAAGTCTCATGTCGGTATCCGAATCCCTAGTGCACTATGACTCCACGACGCTTGCAAGGCTGTGAAATACCAAATACAGTTACAGGACATGTACAGCATAGTAGTTATCATCATGTTGTTGCGTCTTGCGCATTAATTTCATATCCCTACGGAGGGGAAGCTCGAAGTGTCAATATATTCCGCCTTTGGCAACCGTCAGAATCGAAGTACCGACTGTCAATTGCCAAAAATGACACTTAGTAAATACGCTCTATTCGGGTCAGTCATCACGGTGGTATTGCATTGTTAAACGTTTCATTATGTAGCTTGGACGTTGTTCCAGGCTATCTGTCTTTTGTATTAAAGGTGGTTTGGCCTCTAAACTGTAACTACATGTATGGAGAGAGAGTTTTCGCTCTCTCTCTCTCCTTTGTTTTTGTTTCTACTCATCAGTTCGTACTGCACATTCTCTACGTTCTCGGTTCTCCGCTTTACTTCACAGAGATCATCTCGCAAGACAGAATTAATTTTTAGAGGCTACATATATATATATATACAGTCTAACCAACTACGCCAACTCCAACCTCAGCGCATCATACTGCACATACAGCGCCGTCGGCAACACCGCCGTCTCCGTATCCGTCCCATTGAATGGCAAGCTCAACACCAACTTGTTACTACCAACCTTCAGCCACTCGGTCGAAAACGTCAACTTCTTCGCAACCTGGTAGCAGCTGACCGCGCTCCTCACGATGCAGCTGCTGCTGTGATAGTACGGGATGACGAACGGCAGCCCCTCGCTCTGCCCATTCACATACGTCGTCAGCGGCAGGTTTGCGTACGGCTCAGCAGCAGAATTGATATCCGTGTTTCCTGCAGCCGTCTTGGCACCTGCGAGCTGGATGGTCAGGGTGGCGGTCTTCTTCTTCTTGAGATCGGCAGCCGTGAGGTCGAAGTTGATGGTCCAGTTGTTCATGTTCTGGGTGTAGATATTGTCGCGGTTATGGGTCGGCCCAAAGACGCTCCAGTGCACGGTGTTGAAGTCCGCTGCGAGGTCGCTCTCCCCGATGGTGAAGTTCACGCCGTTGGGAAAGTCGGTGGGGAAGTCATAGCCACCCCAATAGACCCAGTACTCCCGCGGCTGCCGTGGATGCGTCAGGTCCTTTGCATTGCCGTGTCTGAACTCTCCGGACGACTTGTCCGGGGTTCCCAGCCGCCACACCTCCGTCCCTGCAGACTCCTCCTTCCATGTCGCGGAAGACTTGGTCGTCTTCCCGGCGGACACCTTGATATCGTCCTTGATGTAGTCGCCGAACACGCCATCGGCATAGACGGTGAGCCTGTACGTGCCCTTCTTGACCCTCGGGATCTTGACGGCTCCACTCGCATCAATCTCGCCCCAGTACTGGTACGCCGTGGTGTCCTCCGCATTGTCCTGGAAGTTGATGCCGGACTTGCTCAGCACGGCGATTGGCCGCTTTGCGCCGGCGGGAAGCTTGAATGAGCCCTCAAAGACGCCGCGGTCGGCGCTGGGGACGTAGCCGGGGACGTAAGGCGCGATGCTGTCGTAGAAGTCGGCATTCCAGGTGGGAGAGGCGTATTGTTCGGCATCGGCGCGGAGGGTCTCGATGCTGGCGCCGGGGGCGGAGTTGAAGTGGTAGTAGTGGGGGCCGAAGGTGCGGTCGAAGCCGTTGGTGATATTGGGGGTGCCCTCGCCGTGGTGGTTGGAGACGATATAGTTATAGACAATGCCGTCTGGGGAGAGCTGTGAGTTAGTCTCTGAGTAATATGAGGTATTTCAAGGAGAGGAGATATCACTGACCGACTGTGAGATCAGAGTGCAGAGGACCGCCAAAGTAGGTGTCCTTCGAGTTCATCACCAACCACGCGCCAAAGCTGGTGCCGTTCGATGTGCTGCCGTCCGCATACATGCCATGGGCAATTGTCTGCCTCCAGTCTGCAATAATTATATTCCCCATCAGCAAGCCATCATCTCACCACCATCACAACCGCAATTGCAAGCCTCTACGCCAGAACAGAAAAAGCACCACCTACCGCTCGAAAACGTGTACTTTGTGAAGTACTCTGCAAACTCCTTATAGTACGGATCATCCGGGGTATTCTCCAGCGTCCAAGTCGCATCCTGAACCACCGTCTGCTTCGCCACTCCTGCCTTCGACGGCAACGGCGCCGTCTGCTCCTCATTCGTCGACAGATGCGTCCACAAGCCCAGGTTCGCATTCGGCCGGAACAGCGTCCGTAGCTCCTGTAGGTTCCGCAGGAACGGCGTGGTCTCGTTGAAATACGACAAGCGCGTGAACGTGTGCAGCCCCGTCTCGCCGTCGCGCAGGAACCAGAACTGCTGGAAGAACTGGCCGGTGGGCGTGTAGGTGTCGGAGAGCACGACGCCGCCGTAGCGCGTGCCCGTGCTGTCGGTGCCGTTGACGACCTGGATCGACGGCGTCGTGGACCCGACGGTGTAGAAGCCACTCGGGATGCAGTAGCAGTCCAGGTACAGGATCCCCGTGGACCCGGATTGCGCGCCGAGAAGGTCGCGCCCGTCGAGCATGAGGTCTATGACGGCGCCGCTGGACTTGCCGACGATCGCGGTGAGGCGGTCGTTCTTGAGCGTGACGAGGGAGGACGTCTCAGTGACTGTGAGGGTAGCTTGGACGGCGCTGAGGGCGCAGAGGGCGCTGAGCATTGCGCTCTTGAGAATCGAGGGCGCCATTGCAATTGCTGATCGATTGATTCCGGCGACAATTCAATTGAAGAGCTGCTTAGCAGGAGAAGCTCATGAGAGAATTACCAGCTGTCTCTTTTATGAACGGCCGTCCATAATAGCCAAAACACGGCATCGGCGCGCATTCGGGCCTCCGGGTTATTGCACTCCGTGTATTGACCCCGAGCGCCCGGTTTGGCAGTGATTAGTGGCCCGTACGGTGGTACTGTTCCTGGCAAGTGTCTAATCTCGGGGTGAAGACTTCCCCATATTTTTCGCCCCCCGCAGTCTGGGCGTGGAGTATACCCGGGGTGGAAGAATATGGGGTAAAGTTGGGGATCATCCCGGTCCCCTGTAAATTGAGGACGAGAAAAGCTTAGGGGGGGAGAACTAGTGCTGTCATCGGTCATGAGGACGCGCGGGAAAGATGGCGAGATGGCGAGATGGAGATATGGAGATGGTGAGAGGATGCTATGGACTCGGGTACCTGTGAGAGAAATGGCTGTATAGAGGTGCTACGGGTAGGCCGGCATCGAGACTTGGAATTCGGGGTGGTGATGGGTAGGGAATTATATGAGGGCAGGGGTTGGACACAGCCGAGAAGTGCAGTATGGATAGGATCGAATCCTGCTTGCTGTAGGTACGATACATATGGGTAGAGTAGAGGAGGTACATGTAGCTGCAGAGGCGGTTCGGCTGCAAACAGATATATTTGATGAGTATTTGATCGGAATCTATATGATGTCTACTAATATTAATTAATTGTTATATCGGGGTTAGACAACTACTCTAGTGTCAGGGTTAATCTAACTGACTAATCATTTATTCAAGCCCTGATATCAATGATTAGTCGACGAGACCGCGTACTTGATGCTACAACATCACTTGTACCTATTCCAATTCTTGAAGCGGGTAAGGAATCTGGCGCGTACAAGTCGATGAATTGCATGGCACAATACATACATAGTCTTCTAAGGTCTTTGTTGAAATTAGCGTCTTCGCTGCAGTAGTGCTTCCCTGCGAGGTGGGACTCGAGACAGGGATGGAGGGTTCACACTTCATCTTTCCTTCTACTCTCATTGTCTCTTCTCTTCCTTCTTCTGTCACATAGAGAAAAAGTCAAATACAATCGTTCATCAAAGCCTCTACTCTTTCAACAGTCTTAGCTTAGTTCCTTGCCGGAAACCCGATCAAGAGTCATCCTCTGGCGGAACTGGTACATACATATTTGTGTGTTTTGAGGCCAGAAATACGTTTATTCCTTTATGATCGAGAGCCTAGGGGTGTTTACTGGCGCACTGGATGGCGGTGAGCGAAGGGTGCAAAATACAGGTGACGTACCCATACTGCTGCTTCGCAGTCTTTGCTATCTGTTATTAGTACTCTGTGTTCGGTTGTCTTGATGATACGTGTTTATTTATCACGTCTTTGTGAACTATAAAAGGGGCCTGTTTCTTCTGTTCTTGTTAATAATTGATTCGATCATACAATTCGATTCTCTTCGGTCTCTGATAAAACCGCGGCCGAATAACAATACATAGGTGATCATGGGTAGTGTGATCCACGAAGCGCATCGAGGCGAGGAAGACGGGGTGTATCGAGTTGCCTCTCCCTCTGAGGAGATCTGCTTTGGGTTGCCTCGAGCTGTCTCGATGCTCCTCCTCGAGGTAGGTCTTGGCAGTGGGTTCTCAATAGTTCTTATCTGGTTCGATCACCCGGGATGTATATTACACGAGTATCTCTGTTCTGGCAGTCTGAAGAGTATATATTGAGTCGAGGAATATACCGTGTATCGAGGTACATCGGCCTCGTTGAAGGGTATACCTCACGTCACCTCGAGGCACGAAGTGCTTCGCCATCGTGGACCACACTGAGATTGATGGGTACCAGTTTTCTAAGGTCTTAGCATGCTTTCTCGGCGGCGGGAAAACTGATCAAGAGTCGCCCTCTATCTTTGATCTGGCCGGCGGAGCTGGTACATATTTGAGAATTCTAGGGCCATAAATATGTTTATTTATCCTTATGATCGAGGTCCTATGGGTGTTTGATTCCTGGTGCGCTGGGGGGCAGTGAGCAAAGGTGTTAATACGCGTGCAAAATACAGATGACCTATATAAGCTAAACTTTTCACCATTATGATATGGCAGAAGTTTAGCAATATCAGTGGATACATAGATGGCACTGGACGACTTCCTATAAGCAATAGAGCGCGTTCTATCGCCCAATAGACCTGATTTTGTCTTTCTACCAAATAGAACCCGAGTATCTAAAAGATGTGATAGAGCACCATCTTTGGGGGGGGGGGGGGGGGTCTACGGGATAGAACATTTCCTATCCGCTTGGATACATGTAGAACTTTGAGTACTTTCATCTTCCTTCTTCAGTTAGAACAGGGGACAAACTAGGAAAAGTTCACTGTTACTAATATACCTTATCTGCCTTAGTAAATGAATAGAACAAGTCCGGCGAATAGAAAATCTCACTTGCTTATGGGAACCCGATTTATCTAAGAACCACCCGCTATTGCAATAGAACACGCTCTATTGCTTATGGGAAGTTGTCCACTGTCTATCACGATAATGTACTAGTATTGTAGTAGTAGTACTTGGGTGCACTGCAGACGGATTTCCCGACTGGTTGGTTGACGTCTTGGCACCACTTCAGGCGCACCGTCAGCACCCAGAATCGTGAAAAACAACACCATAGGGCTTTCACTCCAAGACTCAGCGCGGATATTTGCTTTAAATCTTAACTACTTTACTTGTGGTTGCTATGTGTCTCCGGACCTCTTCAACTTACTCTTTAAGTTCGCAACAGGTCCAGATAGGGAATGGTCAGGGTTGACGTTAGGAATGCTTTACAGAAGACTGAGTCTAGCTTTCTCACTCTTCAGCACAAAAGCTGCCGGCCCCCTCGGACCCCGGCACCAAGCTCCGGTCAAGTTCGGATATCAAGAAACCCGTGACCCGGGCGTAGAACGTCCCTTATCTTGTTAGGGGGGTATTCCGCCGGGACCATTCACATATACCAAGGGTTTACTAGGTCGATGAAACATTTCCTCGATGGAGCCATACTCTTTGGAGGATTTGGACGGATTTACCTTGAAAATAGTGCTATGTGCACGCGGGCTTGTAACAATAAGATTACATCGGCTGTTACAGGCGGTTAAGATTCCGGGTGATATTTCATGATCGGCCGCGTCTCTTTCTTTTTTACTTTTTCCTCCCATACATGCTTCTGACACGTGCACGGCGAAGACCGCGTATTAATCTCGCAGATGGATTCAGGACTGGAAAAGATTGCCGCGAGAAGAATACTTACGCACGCACTGAAGTTCATGTATTTCCCCCTCCCTCGTGTAAGATTCACTCTGACCTTCTTTCGACGTTATGATATTATGATCTTCTCTGCAGCCAGATACGCAAATGGTTACGGGTAGTCATATTTTCTGCATGAAATTCCACTTCTCGCCACGCTTCATTCACCATCTCACTCAACAGAAAAAAAAAAAGGAAAAAAAAGGATGATGGTGATTACGACCCTCACCTCCCAGTTTCGCCATAAGACAGCAACAGGTGAGTGATATACGCAGTTCCCGCGATCAGAGCAGTTTAAATATGTCTTACTGTGGCTAATAAGCGAAGTACTTTATGATTGTTGTTGTCCATCATATGGCGTGGCGGTTGGGCCTTGCAGGATTATGGAGAGATGCTATTGCATGCTTGGCTATATAGGACTTCCTTTAAGGTGCTAACCACTATCACAATACGAGAACGAATGTAGGTCTACCGGGATTGCTAACTAGCTGATTTTCCAAACTGAATACCGCCATCTTTGCGGCAGCGATGCGTCTGATCATGATCAGAGATTCCTGCTCAGATAGTTTGGTATCGAGCACGGGGTTTCCACTCGATGATGCGGTGGTTCCGGGCTTATGTTTCGTATATACTGTCACAGTGTACGGGACCTTCACCTACCCGCCGAAAATCTCAAAGGGGTTCGAATGCCGCGCCGGAGGGCTGGGTCTTTTGTTCGTAACTTCCAGAACATTTGAATTTCAAGTATTTGTGCGGGGTTTGGTATCAAAGCCGTAGATCTCTCCGTACCTGGACTTAGGTATGGATCTGACAGGGTGGTAAAAGTAGCTTACGTATGTACAAGGGGGAGAAACCAGGAAACGAGAAAGTTGAAGGTGCATCCATGCATGATATTAGACAGGTTGTGAGCTATTACCCGCAAATATTTGTATTTCCAAAACCTTCTCTCACTCTCCCCTCCCCCCTTCTCCAGGTAAAGTAAGGGAAATAAGCCACTTCCACACAATCAGCAGCAAGAACTCGCCTTGCCTTTCCCCATGGTTCCCCGCAGCCGCCATTGCAGAATGAAAAGACCAGATGCCCAATGTTCTGCATATGGCGTTTCTCCACCGCCCCCACCGCCCCCCTCGCCCCCCTCATGAGATCGACTCTGCTCGCCCTCTCCATCGAGTATTTCATCTGATCTAGAGCAGTAGCAATAGTTGCATAGCTGATCTCAAACACGGGCAAAGCGCACATGGAGGTGGCGACAATTGAGCAGCAGCACCGTCGTGAGGGTTTACGTAAGTACAAATATATGCTTTTCTATCCTACCTCTGCAGCTAGCTGGCCCGTATTTGCCTGTTGTGCCTGGTTCATGCAGAAAAGAAGGTGCATAATTTATCTCCGATCTGAGGGCGCGGTTGAGCGAATGAGAGGAGCGATGCAGGTAAAACCGGGGTACCGAGCGTTGGAGAATATCCTGCTGTACCTACTCTATATCCAGCTGCAAGACAGGCATCTAGCTGTTGACCTGGTATACCCTCGATGGCCCCCTTCAGGGAATGTGGTACCTGGAACTTCCGTTGGTTCTTTGGGGTTCCGTTGGTTTATGTCGGAATTATCATGACGCAAAGTTGAGACCAATTGGTGACTAGCTAGCTAGCTAGTAACAATGGTTATGTGGATGGAGGAGAAGGATCTGAATCCGGC